GGAGAAAAAGAGGGAGAGAAGCATCAATGTGAGAAACATCAATTGGTTGCCTCTTGTATGCCCCCCTTACTGGGGACCTGAACCTGCAACCCAGGCATGTGCCCTGATCGGATATCGAATTGGCGATCTTTTGCTTTGTGGGATGATGCCCAACCAACTGAACCACACCAGTCAGGGTACTTTTGCTATATTTTATTTTGTTAAGATTGGTGTTATCCCAGTTTTTTTCTTATTTACTTTTTCCCTTAAGGTGGCATAATACTTGCCAGGTTTCACAACTGAGTAAGGAATCGGAACCTGACAGCAGTTCTAACTCCGAGTTAAAGTGTGCCCTGTCCTTTTCCTTGCCTGGTGATGAGCATGTAAACAGCCTCAGTCGCCTGGGGCTTTTTTTATTAATGCCTTTTCCTGAGTCACAGCTTTAACTTCCTATTTTTGTTTTAGCACTATGATTAGTAATAAAGACTAGTTGCTATGTATCTGCTAACTGGTGTTATGGCAGATAACATAAAAAGTAGGAATATAATGCTTATGAATGCAGGAAACCACCAATCACTTGCCTTGGGAAAGAGAAGCTAGCCAGAACTTAGAACTAGCTAGTAGGACAGTTACCCAAAATAAGCCTTTGAAAATTGTGGTTGTATGTTGATGTGCTTCCAAATACTTCCTGACCTCTGTTGTCAACTTAGCTAGGAGCCTTGAAACATTCTAGGAGGCCCACTCAGCAAATTGAGGACCTCCCAGAAATGCCAGTCATATTATTGTTCTGTACCTTTTGGACAACCGAGGGTTAATGTCAAAATTTGTTCTATCACTGAACGCTCTCTCTGTTGCCCTGTTTTGCTCAGTAGAAATCCATTAGTTTTCTGTCAGGGTTCACGTGGAGGCATGCCAAGTTAGTTACTCATGGAATTCTAAAAAGGGGTTCTAATCTGAGTACCATTGCATCCTCCTGCTCCCCAACAAATAAATAATTAAGCTTTTTTTCTTCAGTGTTTCATAGTGTATAATTGTTGTATAGAGTCTGAGTTGGCTTCATGTCAGAGTTTGAACATCTTAAGTACTACTGGATTCATAATAATGAATGCTAGAGGTAAATGATCTCATGGTAAGGTTAGGGAGATCAGATATACCTACCATCAAACAGCCTGTTCTTTCTTACTTTGCAGGTTGTTTGAACAGTAAAGTGGGAATGTAACAATGTTCCAAATAAAGTTCTTTTACACTAAAAGGGGTTTTCCAGCCTTGAGTTACATAATAAATATTTGGAGGAATAGTTTGATGTTGACATTTGAGATGGGTTACAGTGTTTTGAGATAGTGGTTATTTGGAAGATGTTCTTGCTGACTAATTTAAGTCACTTTTGAGGAACTACTGTATAAGAATGGGGAGAGCATAGTGAAGTACAAAATGGAGTTTTTGGAGAGCCTAATGCAGTAGTTCTGTCTGCACAACTGTATTTATTTAGTTTTGTTAGTAAGTTATATGGGCAGTTCTGATACACTGCTCAGATTTAGGACTTATGTATTAACAGCAGGAGTCAAAGCAGTGGGGTGAAGGGAGAAGAGCAGATAGAAGGTCGTGCAGGTTTATCACTAAAGAATAGGTAACAATAAACAACAAAAATCCGTCAGGACTTAGTGTTTAAGTATGGGAATCTGAAAGAAAGAAAATCAGTAAAATGGTTTTGACTATGGGAATGGCAGTTATATTGACAGAATAATAATTAGGATGTTAAGAACAGGAATTTAATTATAAGGCTTTTAGGCTGTTATGACTAAGGAATATCACAGATATTTCTCATAATTATTTGGAGAAAGCTGGAAAGATTTCACAATATATTTAAAAGGTGTGGGGAGATGTAAGGTGGTTAAAGGGAGGACAGCAGTAGTTGGATTGTCTACAGTTACTTGTATGATATAACTTCACAAGCACTTGGAGATCTCAGAGTTGGGTGATTCCTGTGTGTAAGTCTATGAGCTACTTTCAGTATTTCAGAAAGTTTAATGGAAGTCATACATTTACCCATTTTAAGGATGTACAAATTAAAGTTCCTTTGTCTTTGACTGGAATCATATCAAGTCAGTGTTTAAATATTAAATACTACTAGATCTTCCTTATTGATTAAATACTTTGCTATTATACTTTTTGACTTTATACAAAAGTGAAAATGAACTTAATACATGCAGATTAGAAACATGGAGCTTATGAAAGGAAAAAGTAAATAAAAAGAGGGAACCTGGTTAAAAGGTTGGTAGAGTATATTTTTACTATATGACTTTATTTCTTCATCCGTTTACTAGGTTTGAAGTCTTTGGCTTTATTTAATACAAACACAATTTGTATAGTACTTAGTTCTCAATTGAATAAATTAAATTAAAACTCCACAATGACTGCTGTTGCTTGTGCCAGATAGTCTCACTTTTTCATTGACTATTGCTTCTAAGTTTTTTTGTTCCTGTTTTACTTTGAAGGTTAATAACTTGATGTAGTATTAAAAGCATTTCTGTACATACCTTCTTTACCACTATTTCCCTGACTTTTACTTATTAAAATTTAAGAAAATATGTGTTTATTGATTTTAGAGAGGAAGGGAGGGAGAGAGAAAGAGAGAGACAGAGACAGAGACAGAGAATGGTTGCTTCCCATACACGCCCTGACCAGAAATTGAAACCCTAGCATTTTGGTGTATGGGATGATGTTCCAACCAGCTTCGCCACCTGGCCAGAACTGTTTCCCTAACTTTTAGAACAGTGTTTGGTGTTGAGTAAATGCTTGTTAAATGAAGTAACAAAATACTGCACGTAAACAGTAAAGTTGAAGTAAATGTTAGGATATAAGGGAATTAAAAGAATAGTTATGCTTTGAAGCTTAGCACAAGAGGTGATTATTAGCAATACCTGAAAGCATAGATAACACTGTACCTATCCATAAGGGTGTACTGCTATATTTTATTAGCTATTTGACATTCAGCTTTCTCAAATGTGCAAAATGTTGCCCTATATTATTTTGGTGTTTTGTACTTTGTTACTGAATAAAATTATTTTAGACATTAAGTAGTGGTGTGAAGAGGGTTGCAATAGCAATGAGACTGCTGAGTGACCAGGAGAAGTAGAGAACCTTAGGCCTCTTCTCATTGGCCTTTGTACCATGTTGTCTAGGAGTTACAGATTAAATTAGGGTTTAATTAAATTTAAATTAATTAAGATTAAATTAGGGTTTAATGAAGTTGATGACTTCATTACCTCACAGTTTTAAGTTCCCTAAGGAGTAAAGCGAGGCAAGGAAGCAGATGTATCTATGAGAGCTGTGTGCGTGCATGGGTGTGCTACTGGAAAATAGTGCTGCTTGAAGAGTGACATTGCATTTTCATTTAGAGTGTCTTTGCAGGGATTGAAGAAGAGAGCATGAAGATTTTCAAATAGAAAATCTCTGGTCTTAATCCAAACCCCAGTATTTACCCAGCTCTCTCTGTCTCATTTAATAATCCAAGAGAGTTCCATTTGGAGCAATTCTACAAATACTTGCAGAGTGCCTGCAATGTGCCAGACACTTCTAAGTGCTAGACCTGTACTAGTGAACCGAACATACAAAGTCCCTGTTCTCTTGTTACTTAATTTTTAAATAGGATAAATAGAGAATAACAAATAAATACATACTATATCAGGCAGTAAAAGATGTTTGTTTCAGATATCTCTTGCTGTGTAACAAACTACCCCAAAATTGCTGGCTTAAAACAACAATTTTATTGATTTTTACAATTCTGTGGTGGCAAAGGGCTCATCTGCATGGTTCTTTAGCAGGTTTTCCTTGGGATCCCTCATTGACAGATGGGTCTGGAACACTTAACAGGGCTTCACTCGCCCAGCATTCTGGTTGTCATTTGGCTGCTCAGCTGAGGCATCAGGTTTTTTCCCTTGGCTTCGGCTTCTCACAGCATAGTGGCTGGGCTCCAGGAGGGAGGGTTCAAGTGTGCAAACGCAGAAGCTGCAGCTTTTGAAGGTGCATTCTCAGAAATTACATTGTCACTTCCACCACATTTTATTGGTCAAAAAAAGTCACGGGGAGAGAAAATAGACTCAACTTTTGATGGGCCGTGATAACAATATCACGTTACAGAAGACTACATGGAGTGGGAGATAATGTTGTGGCCACCTATGAAAACAATCTACCACTGTACTGTTAAAAAATAAAAAATTAAGTAGGTTAATAGAGGAATAGTGGAAATGGGGGTCAGAAAATACAGTGTTCTGTAGAAGGTCAAGGAAGACCACCTTGATGAGGCAGCATGAGAGAGTGAGCCATAGCACTGTAAAGACATTTTAGGAAAGAATATTCCAGGCAGAGAGAACAGGAAATATAGAAGAAGCCCTAAGGTAGGAGAATTCCTAGTGTGTGTGATCAAGGAATAGCAAGGAGAGCAATGTGACAGGAGTGGAGGGATAGAGGAAGTGTGGTAGCACATGGAGTCAGAGAGTAAGTGAGAGGCATGTTGTAGCTCTTGACAAAGGACTTTGGATGGCTGTGAGTGAGATCGAAATCTGTTGGAAGATTCTGATCAGAGGAGTTAAGTGAACTTACTTAAATTTTAAAGAATCTCATTCTGAGAATCTCTGGCTCCTATTTTGAGAATAGACTGTAAGGGGATAAGAGTAGAATTAAGAAGTCTAGTCAATAGGCCAGTGCCATGTGATGATATGCTAAGTAGTAAGTGATGGTTGGGTTTGGAGAGAGAGAGAGAGAGAGAGAGATCTGAAGGTGGGACTGACAGGATGTGCTGGTGAGGGTGGATATGGAGTGAGAAAGAGGGACCAAAGATGATTCTCAAAGTTTTTGCCCTGGAAAATTGGATTTTTCATTTATCAAGATGGGAAGACTGGGGGAGGAGCAGGGTGGAGGTGAGGGAGATGCAAGACTTATGTTTTTGGCCATGCTAAGAAGAATCTAAGAAGACATGTTTGGGGGGGGAAAGGTTACTAAATGTTACTTCCTCATTGCAGGTGTGACGTTGAGTGCTTCAGATCTGGTCACTATGGTACGAGAACGAAAATGCATATTGTGCCACATTGTGTACAGCTCAAAAAAGGTAATAATAGAAGAGGGAGAATCTGAGGCTTTATGATTGGTCATTTTTTCAGAGACACCAAATGAAATTTGTAGATGGGTAAAAGCTTTTAATGTCTTATTTTGCTTCTTTCTTAAACTATAGTCTTATTCCACTGGTTTATTTTTAATTACTGCCTCATAAAGCCAGTAACTATATTATTAAACCTCTACCCAGAATTTGAGGATACTCTACTTAAAAGTAGATAGTAAAGAGAAATTTAGTTAGTAGCCAGTTATAGAGAAAGTACCTTAAAATGTAGGTTATTTGAGGTTATACTACTTTCTAATTAGCTAAGGAATAGGAAAGGGGTACCCCTGCACTCTGTTTCTGCTTATGCGTGTGCAAAGCACAGCACAGCAGAAATGGTGTTAATAGTATCCTAGATGTCCACAAGGTGGGGATGTCGCACAAAGAAAAAGACATTTTTAAGACTAAAAGAATTTACCTGTGCCTTAAGGAAATTGGCTGCAAGTTGTCTGTCTCACTTTTTGCTTTTTCTTGCCTTTATCCTTTACTTTCAAAGTAGTGCTAATAGCTTAAATATTGAAGAATTTTTTTTCTGTATGCTTTTAAGGTGTTCTTTATTGTCATTGAAAATTCACAGAAGTAGGAAGATTATGGTGAGCTTTCATGAAAGATGTTTGGTAATAGGTGGTTTAAAAGAACTAAAGAAGAGGTACTTCAGGAGGGAGAACATCATGTACAAAAATACAGAGGCAGAATAGTATACAACAGTTCTAGGAGCCAGTAGGAAGGCTCGTCCTTAAAACAGTTTTGTCTTGGGAACAGCAAGAAGGCAATTTAATTTGTAATGGTAAGTGAAGACCGTTGATAAACAGTATTGAATGTAAAACTGAGGGGTTTGATTATGATCCATCCAGTAGGCTGGGGTGAAAAATTTATTTTCCTGTATAGGATTTCGGTTAGTGATGGAAAAATCATGTTTAATAATGTGCCTGCTGCCTTTTGCAAAAGAAACAAACAAACAAACAACTGCTCTTCTAGTTCTAAAAAATTTAGACCAGGGTTTATGCAAAATATTTTTTTTTAAATGATCATTGTGGCCTCGGTTTAGAGCCAGGGTCATCAAACATTTTCTATAAAGGGCTCGATGTTTTTTTATTTTAATTTTTTTACCCTCACCCGAGGACATGCTTCTTGATTTTAGAGTGAGGGGAAGGGAGGGAGAGAAACATCAATGTGAGAGAGAAACATTGATCGGTTGCCTTTTGTACACGACCTGACTGGAGACCGAACCTGCAACCTTTCAGATTATGGGATCATGCTTTAACCAACTGAGCCACACCGGCCAGGGCTATGCAAATTTGGAATAAACAAAAATTCTATATAGCTACTCTCAAATGGGAGGGATGGGAAATTGAGAAGGTGTGAAATGGATAAGACAGACATTCCACGGTGTGGTTTCCACAGACTTTAATGGAGTAGTAGCCCTATCTTGTGATATTTCATAATTTTACCATTTTAAGTCCTTTTGGCATTTCTTCTACTCCGGTTGGAAACATGTTTTCATCTCTTCATACTTTTCACCTCCTGCCTTTGGGAAAGCCAACTATTGTCTTTAAGCAAAAGAATTCATGATTTAAATATTAAGATTAACGTGGTCTAAGAAATTAGCAGAATGGATTAATCGAAAGAGAGGATGCTGATACTTCTTTTTAAATAGAACATGAACAACTTACGTTGAAGCAGTGCTCTCTCCTCTAGTTTCCCAAACTAGTATAACCCTGGTTTTTCCAAATATACTTTGGAGGAAAAAGGGATCTTAGGGTGACTTAAGCATGAACTGTTTACTGTAACCCTGAGTATCCTGATGGTCGTTAACCTCTGAAAGACTGAGAGGGGCTGGAGCTAAAAATATATTTTTTAAAAAATTTAATACTATTCATTGTTTTTTCAAATCTGTTAGCTGTCAAATTCTTTCTTCCCATCTTCTGCCCCCATCTTTTAAAAAAGCAATACTGATTAACATGAAAAGAGCTAAATAGAAGCTTGATAACTGAGTCGGTATACATTTGTGACTATTACTTTAATTCTGTGCCTGTGGACCTTTACCAACTATTTTGACAGCTCAGTTGCGTCTCTGTTTGCATTCATTCCTTAGAGCAAGATGGGAGGGAATTTCATATATAAATTTAGGAAAAGATTTGGGAAATATTTTAGACAAACAGAAGTCACGTTAAAATGAGTTTTGAATGATAATATTTTATAATTAAAATAGAATGTAGAATTGGTTTTTATATCAGAGAATAACCCATTTCAGTGAATACGGTTTTGGTCAGGAATGTTTTCATGGCGAGAAACAGAACCAACTTAAATTTAGCCCAAGAAAAGGGATTTTGCATATGTCAGTCTAATCCAAGGAAAAATTGAACAATCAATAGGGATTTGAGCAGGTGTGTACTGTTCATGGATTTTTTTTTTTTCATTTTATATTTTGTTACTAACTTGATTCAGTTTTCAGTTCTAACTGTTCATTCTAGTTAGTGGCTAATCAATTGTAGTTACAAGGGGTCACATATAAAGCTGTCCCCTCCAAATGAAGCATTTGTGGACATAAGAAGGAAATGAAGGTCATCATCAGTACAATTGCCATGTAAGGGAGAGTTTTGAAAAACAGTCCTGTTTGTCTCACTGTAGTAGATAACTTGAATTAAGACTAGGTTGTTAGGTTTTTGTATGCTTTTTGTCGAATAAGCTGTACATAATGCAAAATTTCCAGACACAATGTAGCATGGTGTTTGAAATATTGGCTTTGGTGCCAGAGCTGCCAGGGTTTGAGTCCTAGTTTGTCCACTTGATTATCTATGACTCAGAGAGGGCAACTCTGGGAATATTTTCACACTGAGCCCCTTCAATAATAGTAGTAAGCTCTGTACTTGATAATAAGCCCTTGGTAAATGTTCGGTGAATAAATGAATTAGCTTCTCTGAGTACTTGTGTCCTTATGAAATTAGTAATACTCCCTCAGTAGAGTTTTGCAGCACAAGTGAGAATTGTTTGAGGCACTTAAGCACAGGACACAGTTAATAGTAATACTCCACATTTATAGAAGCCCTTTCATTATGTATGTTAAAGCCATTCTCTAATTATTGCATGCTTGCTGGCTATATACTTTGGCATGACAAAAGGATAGACATTTACAGCTTTTTGAGTTTTTTTGAGGTATATGCATATATGTGCGCATGTTTTAAAGTGGAAACTCTTCCCAAAGATTTAATTTTCTTCCCATGAAGGGGGCGAGGAAAATGGAGGGAGGGGAGAACCTCGTAAATTTTCAAACTTTTCATTAGAACCAAACAAATCAACTGGGGGCAGTAGGCAGTGAAGATGAAGGCACGATTGAGCTGCTGTATTCAGAGTAGTTTCTAAAAACTTCATGATCAGCCATAGGGAAAAATTCTGTTATATCCATAAGTTGTGTCTAGAATTGATGTACTTATCTGTTCATTCAATGGATAGTGACAATTATATGCCGGGCCCTGGCCAAGACATCAATATGAATTGTGACTTGCTTTTGAGAAACTCGCAGTTGAGTGAGGAAAGAGGTTAGGTAGAAAAGTAGTCAAATAGTTCAGAAGTCATGTGGTTTTAGAGTTGTTTTTTTAAAATAAACTTGAATAAATTCCTTATATTGGGATACAATTTAACCCACATAATTTATTCTTAAAGCCTTTGCCTTCTGAAAAGAATATACTTTCTAACCTTTTTAGAAAGCCATTTAAATAGGTCTGTCTTAAAAATTCCTTTATTTAAAAATGAAATATGTCAATAACATAGCTGAAGAATTATTTAATAAGGAACTGATTACCATATTGAATTGAGAAGAGTAACCACAACAAACACTTTCGACACTAGGAGCTTGAGCCCCAGTTGTTGATTGAACAGGAACAGAGGAATGTTTTCCCCCAAAGCAATCCCCCTTAGTTTAATCTGCTTTCTTTAATTTTGAAGGAGATGGACGAACACATGCGGAGCATGTTGCATCACAGGGAACTTGAGAACCTGAAGGGCAGGTATGGGAACGGCTGTCTTCCATAAACTTGTGAATGTGGGGGGATCTGAGTGCCAATGAGACCTGTCAGCTTATTTTATAGGAACCTTTCATAAATGAATATTATCTTATGGCATAGAACTATCTTTTAGAATTAATAACAAATACAATAGATTTTTTTTTGTCATTCATAAAGAGTAAATCTTCGTGCATCTCAAATGTGTACAATTCACAGCAGCTCTAATAAGTAGATGACAACTGAGATGTATTGGGATGAGCTAGTTATCTCATTAACAAGCTTTGTCAATCCTACTACCAGCCCTGCAACTAGGACATTTTATGTTATTGCCTCAGCTGTGTTACAAATTGTTGCATCATACAATAAACCTTTAGTGTTGCTAGAATAGTTTGAGAAGGCCAAAGTCCACTAAATAGCACTGAATCTATAGTGTAAATTTTGAAGTACAAACCATGAGTATTTAAGAATGCTGTTTTGTGATACACAGCTTGAGGTGTTTAAGGAAGAAAAATCTAATAAGTAAGCACCTTTAAAAAATTAGATGTAGCATATGTGTATTTCCATGTCTTTTTCCCCTTGACCTATGGTTCCTTTTTTGATGTGTTCGACATCTGTGAATTTGACATTTGGAGACAATATGAAACAGAGAAACACTGAGAAACTGAGAAATACTAATTAATAGCTTATTCTATGCTTAGTAGTTACAAACTTTGATCAGGATGCCAACATCATTCATTTGGAGTTATATGTGTTTTAAGTAATACAGTTTTGGATTGTGTGGGCAAATTGATGTTTTTAAGCTTTCAGCAAGTGTTTAGCATATTAGTGGAATTTTCCCATCATCTTAGTCCCTTACTGTGTGAAGGCTAGGTCTTAGCAGCAGCATGAAAGAATCTTTCATTCAGATTTAGTGTGAAGAGCCTTTATAATACCTTCAATATGCATGTATATCACCTTTAACTCATTATCATTGGAAACTTATGAAATACAGTCAACCTTTGACTATATGTGGAATATCTTAATTATTTATTCCTGTTTCCAACTAACTTCCATCTGGAATCCACATTATTCTGGGCCATTTGCCTGCCACATGGCTATATTATAAAATAAAACAAGTGAGGTCAGTAAATCTAGTCATTAAGAGAGAAGCCTGTTTTATTTGAAGACTAAAGCCTATTGCATTAAAAAAAAATCACTAATCAGCTATTTAAAACATTTAAAAAACAAATATTGTTTACTTAAAGATTTGTGTTCATAGTCAATACAGAATCATAAAAAGTGAAAAAAAGAAGTTATCTAACCAGCCCACCTCCCCAACCCCAACTTCTACTCCTCTCTTGGAGGAAAGTCAACAGTGTGGTGTTTGTGCTATCCAAACCTCTTTCTGTGTGTATACACAGATTTATACTTAGCTATACATACACATATTTTGTCTTATTAACATAACTGAACCACATGCTACATATGTATGGTTCTGTAACTTGTTTTTCTTCCCACCCATCAACTTAATTTTGCCATGGAGATTTTTTGTTTACCATTTTCAGTTATTTCGAGCATAGTCAAATAATTAAAGAGAAAGCATTAGAAGCCTCTGAGCTGGCAGTATAAATATCAGCGTTAACACCCAAACCCATTTTATTTAGAGAAGAGCACTTTCATACTTATTTAATCATTTTTTAGATACAGTGCTAATAAGTTTTATATGTTTTTCTGGTCTGTAACAAATTGTAAGGGAGAAGGCAAGCAGGTAGCAGGAAGAAACAGCTGACAAAACTATGAAAAACAAAATCTCAAATCATTTACTTACATGGAGCATTTATTGTAGGGACAAACTGTTATTATTAGTTTATACCATAGGGACAAATAGTCATCAGTTATTATTTCTTCCTATCATTATTTTGTAATTTTTTTCCCCTCCGGATTTCATGTGTAAATGCTGGCTTTCTGATGTTACTCCTTTCTGTTTCTCTTTGTATTTATAGCAGTATAATTTTTGGTTGGGATCTGGTTAAAAATGTAAAAAGTACTTTTTTACGTTTTGAATGCCAGCCTGATTGAGAAGCAAATAACTTGTCTTATTTGGTTCACAATTGTGGACATCTGGGGCATTTCCTTATTTTTGCCTAATACACTTGTTCAGATGTGTGGCCTGTAAGTAGTTTCTACAGATAGATGCTATTTAAAAAGGCACAAACCTTTATTTATCAACCAGCTGTTGTGGTATAGTTAGAGCAAGCTTAATAAAGAAAAGCTTATGGATAGAATATCTTAAGGCTTTGCCTTTCATACATGAGAGGAAATTGTGTGGTAACAGGATGAAGCTAATTTGGGCTCTCCTTTACATGCCCTGAGGAAAATTTTTGCCTTTATTAGTCAAGAAGTAAAGCAGTAATTTTTTCCAACAATTACTTTATATATTTATACAAAATAGTATTTTAATTGGTTATTGATAACCAGTTAAACCAATTGATAACCAATTGATAAAGAACTGAAAAGTATTATCATTAAGACATTATTTAATTTGCTGTTAACTTTTTAAACTTGAGATTTCCCAGGCACCATCTGTGGAAGCATGAATGCATATTGTGTGTAGAATATGCTTGTCTCTTGACAGAAATGTTTGAATTTTCAAGAGGTGTTGTTGGCCTGGAGTCTTTCTTCTCTTTTTTAAAGATTTTATTTATTTATTTATTTATTTATTTAATTTATTTTTAAGGGAGGGGGAGAGAAAGAGAGGGTGAGAAACATTGATGTGTGGTTGCCTCTCACATGCCCCCAACTGGGGACCTGGCCTGCAACCTAGGCATGTGCTCTGACTGGGAATTGAACCAGCGACCTTTTAGTTTGCAGGCTGGCACTCAATCCACTGAGCCACACCAGCCAGGACTGGGCAGGATCTCTTGAGGTGTTTTTTAATCCAGTACCTTTGGAACTACAAGGTATGTCTAGAAAATGTCCAACCATTGTTAACATAACGAGAACAGTTTGAGCGACATCGATGTAACCTGGCAGCCAAGGAGAGTGGACTGGGATATGCATGCATGAACAATGACAACTTCACTGGACTAATCAGTGCAGGGGTGGTAGACGCCATTGAGTGAGCATGTGTACTGTGTGGCTGTCACATTATGACTGAGAGAGTAGAGCAACGAATCTGCATCAAATTTTATGTTAAGCTTGAACGTTCCTCCACGGAAACTATTCGGATGATTCAGAAGGCCACAGTTACGGACAGCTGAGGATTGGCAGCTTCATCACGACAATGTGCCTGCATATGCATCACCTCGTGCAGAGTGTTTTGGCAAAACATCAAATCACCCAGGTGACTCAGCTCCTCCCCTACAGCCAAGATTTGGTGCCCTGTGACTTCTGGCTTTTGAAAGGGAAGAGATTTCAGACTGTCAAGGAGATTCAGGAAAATACATCAGGGCAGCTGATGGCGATTGGGAGAACTGTGTGAGGTCCCAAGGTGCCTACTTTGAATGGGACTGAGGCATCATTGTTCTATGTACAGTGTTTCTTTCATTTTGTATCTTCTTCAATAAATGTCTCTATTTTTATATTATGTGGCTGGATACCTTCTGGACAGACCTCATATGATTAATATTTATTTAAAAATCCGTGTTTAAGTGTTTGTTACACATGCAACATACGCTTGTGCTTTGGGGATTGCAAAGCGTATGGGTTTACGAACACGAATGTTTATTTTTAATAGAGTTTACATGGCGTTCCTTAAAAGTCAATGTGGCCTTCAAGTTATGCCTTTAAAAAGAGGGAGACTTTGATGATTTGGACATGAAAAAATTCTCTGCATTTTAGAAGTAAGGATATAATCAGGGATGTTACTTAATACCTTTTAGAATGATGTTCCTGGTACTGCAATATTCAGTTTAGCATTCTATAAGTTTTTAGGTAAAAAAGAAGACTAAAAACATTTTCCATAGTTTTAGAGAGTTTAAAGTCAAAAAGATTTTCTAACCAGAAAATTCAGCTGGTTAAAGTTTTTATGATAGTATAAATTATTTGCATTCTAGATTAGTTATAGTCTTCTGAAGCTGCCCATTGAGGGTAGACTTATATTTCTATATTTTAAACTTGTTTCAGTGTTGCTGAGAGAAAAGGCTTGTTTTGTTACAAGTTACCCTTCACTTTGAATGAGCTGCCATCATTTTAATTGTATGAGAGGAGCATGGCTATCCCTGCTAAATTGGAGAAAGTTGAGAATCATTCTTTTTTAAGTACATAAATGTAGTAAAAAATTCTCAAATAATGTACTAAAGTTCCTGGAGGATTAAAAAGAATTAGAATATTGATATTCAGGATAATCAGGTAATGATATTTTCAGGGAACCTGGTTAGAACTCATTAAATTAAATCTTAATGTCAAAGACTATATTTTATCCAGAGCATTTAAGGTTACAAAGTTCAAAAAACTTTATGCATTGTCCCCATTTTTCTGGGGTGTTTTTAATGATTCTTACAAAGTAAAAAATAGTGTATGTTTGTTTTTTAATTTACTGAGCATACCGGGCATTTTTTGTTTTTACTTTGTTACGCTAGACAACCATAACCATCTACTTACCATGGTGCCTGGAATTTAGTAGATGCTCAATAAGTTTATTTATTTATTTTTAAAATGACTGTTCAGGTGATCTGTAACTAGTAAATGAAGTACTCAGTTTTGAAGGTCTCTTCTGGTTAAATGGTATGGATTCTGCATGTCTTGATAGATATACAGGGTCCAGCAGAAGTAACACCTGCTTGAGCGTGGTTGGTAGGGTAATAATATGTGTGTAATAATTTATAGTTTTAATTTGAACCCTTCACCTAAAATGTCATATGGTCTGCTTGAGTGTGATATTGTTATGTTATGAATTACATGCTTATGATTTTGTAATAATTAAGGGGCATTATTTGTGCCGGACCCTGTATGTGGGGGAAGATGGAGTAGTGTTATGTGTGTCTGTTTCTGTTTCATCAAAGACGGCATGTCTTCTCTGTTGAGGTTTTGTTTTTTTTGTTTTTTTAATTGATTCGCATAGAGCATACAAAAGTATCACTAGTATAACCACAAGGCAAATGATAAGGGTTAAACTAATTTGGATTATGGAATGAATATTTCTGTTTATTCATTATAACAGTGGTCATGGTGTTCATATATTTCTCACCAATGACCACATAGACAGCTGAACTAATAACCAAGGGACTTCAGGACACTAAAAAAAACAGCTAAATTATTCATCTACTACAGCTTCTTAAACTGGCTAAGGGTAGATTTACCATTAAGTGTGTGAAATGAAAGGAAAAAAGTCTGCTCAGTCAATGTTCTTAACTAAGAACCTGGTTTTGCTTCTCTTTAGACTGCAGCATTTTCTGAAACTTGAGAAAAACCATTTGCCTAGCACAGCTGTTGACTTCCTACCACTGAAATGCTTTCCATTCCCTTTAAAATAAGTCCTTCTGATGCAGAATGTAGATCACATGTATCATTCAGACCAAAAAAGTTTGCTGAGACTGCTCCGGTCATTTGCCCTGGTCCGGAATCTTCACATTCCAGGCAGAGCTCCAGCTGTTGGATTTAGTTACTGAGTTGGGATTGGCTGTGCTACCTACTCTTTTCTCCACCCCTTAACTTTCACTGGGAGAAAGTTCTTGAGCCAGAGATTAAATGTAGGCGCTGTCACCAGCCTTTCTGAGTGCAGCTGGCACCATGGGTGTGCTCCAGAGCAACTTCTGTTTGCTCTGAGCCCCCTGCCCTGCCTCCCCTTTCACCATGTTTCCTCTGGCAAGATTTTAAGTACAGCAATTCAAGAAGATTTCTCCTCCTAAATGACATTATTCTGAAGTGTGTTGCCTCTTGATTGCTGGAAAAGAATCTTAAATTCATTTCAAAAGTAACTTATGACAAAACTTATTAAAAGGGATGAAAGGACCATTTAAATTGATTAGCACTAATTTTCCACTGTGCCAGAGTGTTCAGCATCTTTCAGAGGAAACTATAACAGATCTGGTGCGTGTACCATGCCAGTGGGGAGAATTGAATGTCCCTCATCTCCCTCTTTCCCTAGGGACAGTAGTCATGAGTGCCGGGTGTGCGGGGTCACAGAAGTGGGTCTTTCTGCATATGCAAAACACATTTCTGGCCAGTTGCACAAAGATAATGTTGATGCCCAAGAAAGAGAAGATTATGAAAAGGGAGAGGAAGAGGAAGAAGATTATTTTGACAAGGAGCTTGTTCAGTTAATAAAACAAAGGAAAGAACAAAGTCGGTGAGTAATGATTTTGATTTTTTAAAAAGCTTATCTGAAACAATATAGTAGAAAATACACTTCCCATTTCCAAACTTGTCAGCCTGTAGAATTCAACCTTATCTTAGTTTTAAAGTTTAGCTTGAAGTTGCTGTCTTATGCGTAAAAGAACAATGGATTGCTTTCTTGAACTACTGCACTATCTGCTTTAAAACAAACTCAGAGTTGTTACTACATAAAAACTAGCTATTGCTGCTCCATATCTGAAGTTTTTACCAGGTTGATAACTATGTTTAGAACTGTCTTTATTGGTACCAAAGTTTTTGGATACCAATGAGTTGTTTTTGTCTGATATCCAAATTTTCTAATGGAAAAGTATTAGTATATAAGCTTTGTATGAGTATTTTATATAGTATTCTTATTGCATCTGTTAGGAAAAAATGTTTTGCCTAATGTGAATTAACATGGTGTTTCTACCAAATCTGATTTATCCTTTTATTAAGTGCTTTAGTAAATATTTATTGAATAAAATTTTATTTTGAACTTGACAATGTCAAGATCATTTCAGTATAAGTTTTTCTACTTGTACTACATAATTTTACACCTACATCTATAATTCATTTATTAGGCTGCTTGTTGTATTTTAACCTTATTGATTTGTGGCCTATAGACTTTAATGAAGCAGAAATTTTAAGATGAGTAAAAGAGAGATAGAACCAGTTATGAGGTGGAGTAATGTTGCAAGAATTCTAGAACCAGTTATGAGGTGGAGTAATTTTGCAAGTCCTAGGACTTGAGAAACATTTCAAATTCAAGAATAAAATTTTAAAGATCCTTCTTGAATACTAGCTATATAGGGTCTGTACTTCATTTTTAGTTAGAGGCTGGTGACCTATATTAAAGTCATCTGCTTATTTCTTCATGTTTTTTTCCCCCCTTCAGGAGGTTTTTAACTTCGATTGTTCATTCTGGGTGGTGGGTTTAGCTGCATGCTGTTGTCCCCTTGATCTAGCCATTTCAGGATGATCTAGGAATTCTACTTTGTAACCGATTTATTGCCTAATTCTCTCATTTCTGGATCACGTTAGTATAGTTGAGTCAGTGATTTTGTTGGATATCAAAAGTTGCATACTGCTTAGGGAAAAAACATAAAAAGCAGGCTGGCTAATGGTGGTACGGATATTCTACCAATGTGCATAATAACACTTATCTCCTGTTTAGAAATCATTGTAGTTTATAATGTAAGTGGATGTTTGAACTTTTAGGTAAATTAACTTTTAATTTCATCTTCTGAAAAAGGAAGGAATTCTAATTTGTGTCCAAAATCTTGTAGACAATTAGAAGCTTTTAAAGCCAAATAATTCGGTACTGAATGAAAGATTCAAGTCAAGTTCAGAGGAGGGAACCCAACTACAGAAACTTTGTTTTGGGATTTTCATTCTGCCGAGGCCTAGTGGCTAAGAGTGTAGATGCTAGAGTCAGACTGCCCACGGTCCAAATCTCTGCCATACCACTTACTGTGGTGGTATTCTGGGTGAGTGACTTAATCTCTCTAATCCTAAATTTCCTCAGCTAAAACGTAGGAGTAATAAGAATACTTGTTTCAGAATTATTAAGTGGGATAATGTATACAAATTGCTTAGCATTAAATGCCTAACAATTAGTATACAAATTGCTTGGCATTAAATGCCTAACAATTAGTAGGTATTCAATAAATTTTATCTAGTATTAGTCCATTTTTTTGAGCACCTACTGTGTGCTAATAAGCACTGTGCTTAAACACCATAGGAAGTTTGTAGAGGAAAAGTTTTACACACATTCTTGTGATGTTTTCTTAAATTTATTCATATTTCTGTGAGCTCCTTGTCTAAAATGAACAGTTCAAACAGCTGAAGCTTCCTTATAAAAACCTCTAGCACATAGAGTTCCTTATAGCACTTACTGTGGTGATTGCTTACTTGCTTTGTGCCCTTTTACTCCTGTTGGTAATCTTATTTTCTCAGCTAGTTTATAAGTCCTTGGAACAGAAATGAAGCATAAAAGTTTTCATTCACCACTTATAGTTGGTGAATATGTGCTTGATAAAGTGTTTATTAATGAAAGTGATTATGCATAATAAAATCTTACCATTTAAAATAGGTTAGGAAACTAGGTTTTTTAGAAAGAACCAATGACTGGAGAAATCACAGTATTAAGAGCAGCTGAACTTAAATTGTATTAACATGATAACCATAGCTACAAAATATAATTGTTTTTATTTTCAAAAAGCTATACAATGTAAAAATAACAATTGGACAGTAGAAGGGGACAAAAATCCCAGAACCTGCCTAGAAAAAGAGGAGCAAGAAAAGCAGCACAGTATAAATGTGTTAAATTTTTAATATTTCTGGGGTGATAGGAGAAACAAGATAATATTTATAAATTGATAAATTGTGACTATAAGTTTAATTTTATCATTTAAATATATGAAAGCAACCACTATTAGAAATAAAAATGGACTCGTGGGAGGGGGCAAGGGAAAGAGGTGGGGGGAAGGCAGAGACAAATGTATTTAAAAAGTAAATAAATTAATTTAAAAAAAAAAAAAGGACTCTATTACATATTCTGACAGGGGAAGAAGGTCGAGGGGAAGCTTGGTGGGTTATGCCTTCAAAGGAAGTGGAAGAATGCCTGTAAATGAATAATGAAAAACTTTTTCTTCCAGACAAGATGAACCTTCCAATAGCAGCCAAGAAATAAACTCTGATGACAAGCGACTCCAATGGAGGCGTGAAGACAGAATCCCTTACCAAGACAGAGAGAGCTACAGTCAGCCAGCATGGCATCATCGCGGCCCTCCTCCACGAGACTGGAAGTGGGAGAAAGAAGGCTTTAGTAATACTAGGAAAAACAGCTTTGCACATTCTTTGAGGAATAGTGGTGGACCAAGAGGGTGTTCTGGGTGGCAGAAGGGCATTGCAGGAGGCTCCTCAACTTGGTTCCATAACCACAGTAATTCTGGAGGTGGTTGGCATTCAAATACTGGAACAGCAGCTTGGAATCACAATGGTACAGGAAGGAGTTCCAGCTGGCATTCTGAAGGAACAGGTGGCTTTTCCAGTTGGCATATGAACAACAGTAACGGAAACTGGAAATCCAGTGTACGTAGTACAAATAGTTGGAATTATAGTAGTCCAGGAGACAAATTTCAACCAGGCAGAAACAGAAATTCTAACTGTCAAATGGAAGATATGCCTATGCTATGGAACAAGAAATCTAAGACAAATAAATACAATCAAGAGAGGTATAATTGGCAGCGGCAAGACAATGACAAAGTTGGTACAGTTGCCACATATAGAGATCCTTCTGAAGGATTTACAAGTGATAAATTTTCATCACAAAACTTATTTGACTTCAATTTTGAGCAGGTGGAAAGCCAAACCACTAAACAGGCAGACACCATAGCTTCCAAAATTGGTGGGAAGAATGGCAGTGTAGCAAGGGAAAAGTTCCGTCGCTGGACTCCTTACCCTTCCCAGAAGACCGTGGATTTACAATCAGGAATGAAGGAAGTCACTGGTAATAAGTCGGAAATGATAGACAAGCCCTTCTTTGATTTTACCTTAAACACAGGAACACAAGAGCCCCAAATTGATGAAACAAATAATTCCCTAACAGGGAAAACACAAAAAGAAACACACAGTGGATCCGTCAATCGCAAAGCCACATCTGACTGTACTGCTTCCTGTGAGGTGGGGAGAGAATGCCCTATTACAGAAAAACCTGAACTACATGACCTAAATAAGATGCCGTCATTAAAATCTCCACTTCTTCCAATTCCAGTCACTAAATCAGTCCCTCAAAAGCAAGGTTCAAAGAATCCATCAAAAAACACAAAAGCAAATTCTCTTTTTTCTAGAGAACATTCAAATTCCTTGAACAAACTCAAGGAAGAAGACAGTCATGATTCTCCTGGCATGTCCAAAGTACAAAGTTCACGTGTTTTAAAGGGGAACAAAAGTAGATTTGGCACTCAAAGGGAACCTGGTGAAAATTTAAGTGATACATTGCAAAAAGCCCAAGAGGTGTTACAGTTTCATGAGTCATTGCAAAATCCGCTTCTCACCACCTCTAAAAGGACCAGGAACTGTGCAAAAGCTAGCAGGAATGTGGAAGAGTCTGAAAAAGGGTCTTTGAAGATTGAGTTTCAAGTACGCTCATTAGAAGATGAAAGTGATGGAGAGATATCTGACATGGAACGGCATGGAACAAAAATTGGAACCTTGGGTTCTGCAACTACAGAAGTTTTATCCTGCAGCACTCACAGTGCTGACGAGAAAGAGGGAGATGACCAAAACCTGAAAACATCTCGAAAACTGTCCACTTCCCCATGTAATTCAGTAGTTCACCTGAAAGAATCTGAGTTACAAATGACATCTGCCACCAGTCCACACCCTGACTTGCTGCTAGACTTGAAAACCTCTCTAGAAGATGTACAGGCTGATGACTCTGTTAAATCTCATGTTTCATATGAAACAGAAGGCTTTGAGAGTACCAGCTTGGATGCAGAGCTTCAAAAGAGTGATATAGCTCAGCCCTCAGGCCTTCTCCTGCCTGAATTAAGTAAGCTCGGCTTTCCTGCCTCACTCCAAAGAGATCTCACTCGGCACATTAGTTTGAAGAGCAAAACTGGAGCACACCTTCCTGAGCCAAACCTCAACAGTGCTCGCCGCATTCGCAATACTAATGGTCATCGAAAGAGTGAAACAGAGAAGGAATCTGGGCTCAAGCCAACTCTTCGGCAGATTCTAAATGCATCTCGGAGAAATGTCAACTGGGAACAGGTCATTCATCAAGTAACCAAGAAAAAGCAAGAGTTAGGCAAAGGCTTACCCAGGTATGTGCCTCTTTTCAGTATCGATTTATCTTTCTTTTAAGCTTATACTTTGACCTGGTCAAGAGAATTCTTCTTATAGTTAATTAAATGCTTGCAAAAAACGTGTCATAGATGTCTGGTTTAAATGTTAAAGAATTCCTGCCACTCTATAACAAATGGAATAAAGTATTTCCTAGCAGGGAATTCAGATGAAAAAGAAGTGTACTACTTCTGAGAAATGAGATGGGGACATAGGAAAAAAATCGGAAATACAGCACTTTGGTTTTAGGGGTCAGAAAGTGACAGCATAAAAAAAGTATGTAAATCTGTATCTTATATGTAGATGTTGAGGTGGTGCAACTTTTAAGTGTAACTGTTCTCATTACCTTTCACTTAGAACCTATGGACCTTTGTGTTTACTCTCAGCGTTATTTTTGTGATCATAAAATATTTTCTCTTAAGTAGTGGTATAGTATTTTGCCTAATCATTTGACACTGAGGTACAAAACTTTTCTGAATGGTAAAGCAGCGTTCAACATAGGTTTGCTACTTGAAAATCATCCTGCTGTATTATAATTATAAAGCCCCCCAGGCTTAAATTTCTATCTTTATTGAAATAACATTTATTGTACCCCCTTTTCCTTTTCCATAACTTGTATTATTGATACTCTAAAGTTCTTAGTATAGTAGCTGGTATTTGTTAATGCTTAATAAACATCTTTGTTTTGTTTGCTGTTAAAATTATGTACTTATTGATGGTTTTGAGCTCCATATTAAAATGAAACCCTCAATTTTCACTCCCAAAGGTATTTTCATAGCTGTATACTAATCTCTATTTAATATTAACCTCTAATTTAGACATACTTCTATATGTGTAGCCTCAGTGCTTAAGGGAGTCTGTCACATTAAGTGGTGCTCCCTTCTCTCACCATGTTTGATTTATGATTTTTTTTTCTTTCTTTCTTAAGGTTTGGCATAGAAATGGTGCCTCTAGTACAAAATGAACAAGAGGTCTTGGATTTGGATGGGGAGCCTGACCTGGCCAATCTAGGATTCCAGTGGGAAGATGTTTCCATTTCTTCATCCCCTGGGTTGGCGAGGAAGCGAAGCCTTTCTGAGAGCAGTGTGATCATGGACAGGGCTCCTTCTGTATACAGCTTCTTCAGTGAGGAAGGCACAGGCAAGGAAAACGAGCCCCAGCAGATTTTTTCACCCAGTAACTCACTGAGGGCTGCACAGAGTCAGAAAACAACCATGGGTCTTAAGCAGGAAGTGACACCTCTGGCTGCCTCCCTAAGAACAGGTGAAAGGGCTGAAAATGTTGCTACTCGAAGACGACATAGTGCACAGTCATCCTCTGACTGTACGATACCCTTGATGCATTTGGCAAAAGACCTGAACAGCCAGGAAAGTTCTGCACCGCCTTCAGAGAATCAAAATGCCCAGGAGAGTAATGGAGAAGGAAACTCTTTATCATCAAATGCATCCTCAGCCGTTGCAATCTCCAGTTTGGCAGATGCAGGCACAGACAGTAGCTGTACCTCTGGTGCTGAACAAAATGACGGCCAGAGCATTAGAAAAAAACGAAGAGCCACTGGAGTGAGTATGATTCCCTGTGCCTTTTATAAGATATTTTATGTGGTAACTTGAATGTTAGAAAAAAGAATTAACTGTTTAAATTTTCCCGTGTATCTGGGGTTCTCTTTACTTTGGAATAGAAGACTTGTGAGGTTCTTACACTTACTTTCAGATTATTCTACTGGTTTCTTTCACTGAGTAATTCTACAAAGTTAGATGTAATTGAATATGAAAGTACAGTACTAGGAAAATATGAAGTCATCTCTAAAATTAGTCATCAAGCCAGTCAGTCTTTGTATCACCTGACAAGGAGTAAGCCACATCTTCAGCTGTAACTTTATCTGTTTCCATGATGCATTCTGTACGGCTGCTGAAGAAAGGCATTCCAGTGTTGCCTTTGGAGGGCTTGTAGACTTGTTGGATCGAGGAGTTTTAGGCTTAACACCAAGGTAGTTTCAATAGTACCAGAATACATCTATAGGAGCATAGTCTTAGCAATATTTGTAGTCATTTATCCAGCCTGGCCTTTCAGAATCCATTCCTTCACTGACATCACTTCTGGCATCTTTGTTGCCAATATTGCTTAACCCTTTCAGGGACCCTTTATGAAAAGAAAGACTTGTGATGGTGATACAGCCTGGAACTTGGCACTGCGAGAAAACGGAATGTGTCCTTTAATACTGAAGCAATGTAGAAGAGTGGATAAGAGTCTGGGTTGTAAACCTGGATTCAATTCCAACTCTGCCCTCCACTTTGAGCTAGGCACAGTAGTGGATGGATATTGTTGGAGCTAATATCTTGGGGCTTGTCTCTAGGTTGTTTAGCTTCTTGTTTTAAAGATTTTGTTGCTGAAATTTAAAGTAGAAACTATGCCATAATGAAATCAGATATGTCTATCACTGGCTTTGTCCACACTTTTATCTGTGTCTTGCTGTGCCAAGGTTTGAAATGCTTTGCCTGTGCCTTGTGGGCTTTACCATCCCTAGAATGTTGGGAAGGTACTTGACTTTAGATCCTTTTTTTAAAATCATACACATTTATTCAACTGATATTTTAGTTCCTACCATGTGCATGGGACTTCTACTCCTATCCTGTTAGAGATGGTAGAAATAATGAAGAATATTATATGACTATCTCAGAACTGATTGTTTTTTTCCCTCCTGGATAATAGCCATTACACATTTAATATTATTCATTCTTCTGTATTTCCTTAGGATGGATCTTCTCCTGAAGTCCCAAGTCTTGAGAGAAAAAATAAAAGAAGGAAAATTAAAGGAAAGAAAGGTATAATGCAGAATATTGTGGCAGAAAGAAATTGTTCTTTTAGCAACTCAGCCTTTTTACAACTTGACAAGAGTATAGCTTGTGGTTATCAAACATTGATTGCCCATTTAGTATTATTAATTTTTTATGTTTTCTTGCTTAATGACATAGAAAAGTTTGATTTTCTACTATATATGTAGTTGCAGCTATAGAAGAAATACACAATCTCACATAGACCTGTCAGGTAAAGTTAATATGTATCTTGGACAAATTGAGTTCAATATGAGTCCCATTGGGCCTTATGTGGGATGAAGGAAAACAAGCCTTTGGTAAATTTTTGTCCATCTTTGTCATTTATAGCCATTTCTTTTAGTCTCCATTTTTGAGGCATCTTTGTTGCTTTTCTCATGTGAATTAAGGAGAGAAGTCATTGATGTGGTTCCCTAGCTAATATGAGTCTATAACGCTTGCTCTCCACTGACTGTAACCCTGTGGGAAGTGGATAAGCCTTGGGTGAATGGAAGTGATGCGTAAGGTAGGAGTCAAGTATGACCCCAGTTGATAGCTGGGGCTACTGTGTGGATCAGGCGTGTCCAGTCTGCAGCCTGCATGTGACCCAGGATGGCTATGAATGTGGCCCCACACAAAATTGTAAATTTCCTTAAAACCCTTTTTTTGCTCATCAGTTTTCATTAGTGTTTGTGTATTTAATGTGTGGCCCAAGGCAACTCTTTTTCTTCCATTGTGGCCCAGAGACACCAAAAGGTTGGACACCCCTGGGTGGATGATAGTATCATTTGTAGAGCTGGAAAATTCCATGAGGGGAGCGGGTTGAAAGGAGAGGAAGGTGATGCATTCCTTTTTGGATCCCTTGAGTTAAAGGACCGTAGAGACGCCTAGGTTGAGATGCTTGACTTGGTAGTTGGATATGTGGGGTCTAGAGTTAGGAAAGGGGTCCTGGCATATTGAATGGGAAGGAGACAAACATAAAGATGACAAATTCATACACGTAGTAGAGCATTTTATTTAAAGTTACGTAAGTGGACTATTTCAAAGCCGTATCTCCTTCAGGAAGACTTCTGTAATAAAGACAGCTATGTTAACTAACAGACTAGAAAAATATGGACTGAGAAGAGAGTACAAGCAGAACAAGTCTGGAGCCCGATGTAAGAAAATGCCCTAGGCGAGGAGAGTGGTAGATAAAGGAAGAAAGGGAAATGAAAACTACAGCAGTTGACTTGCTTTGGACAAAGATTTCACTTGGATGGATAATGGTAGAAAATGGCTCTTAGGTAAGATGGTACCATGGGCGGTACTTTTGAACCTTTGCAGCACCTCCATCTTGTCAGGTCTCAACTTTTGGTTCCTAGCTCTGACAGCATCAGGTTTAACATGATTTGTGAGATTTGATGAGCCTTTAGTACGTTTTGGGGAGAAAATAAAGACTTAATCCTACATGGCTGATGTAGTTCCATCCTCTGAGGAGCTGTATTATTAAAGAGAAGTCTCCAGTATTAAACTGAAGCTTGTGGTTTCTTTTGACAGAACGTTCTCAGGTTGACCAGCTGCTGAATATTTCTTTAAGGGAGGAAGAACTAAGCAAATCATTGCAATGCATGGATAACAGCCTTCTGCAAGCCCGTGCAGCACTTCAGACAGCTTATGTTGAAGTTCAGAGGCTACTTATGCTCAAACAGCAGGTAAAAGCAGATGGAACATTTAATGAAAATGGATCATCTCTGAAGTTGGATTTGAAAATACATAACAAAATACTTTTTTTTTAGATAACTATGGAGATGAGTGCACTAAGGACCCATAGAATACAAATTCTACAGGGATTACAAGGTATTTAGAGATAATATGATGGATTGGGCCCTCTGTGGCTTGTTACTTTTTTCCTCTGTAGTTGGGAATTAAAGCAATCATTAAAAAGTTATAAAATTTTTCTTCATGTTTCTTTGGTTTCATTCTTCTATAAAAAAGCCTGTTAGACCCTACATCCCTAGAATGCTTAGCATTGGAGATAGTATGTTACAGAGAGAGCTTTGGGTTAGGAATCAAAAGACCTGGGTTTGAATCTTGGCTCTTCCATTAGTATCTATATGACATTGGATAAGTCACTTAAAATCTGAAAAGTTAGAATATTAATACCTGTTTTGTCTATATCCTTGGTGGTTTTGTAGATATAAGACAATCTATTTTGAATAATTATGAGGGACTTTAAATTCTCTTGTAATCTTTAAAAACACACATTGTCTAAGGAACAGTGACTTTTCAGATAACATTTTTGCATTTACACATATGTATATTTTCCATTTTAGAAACATACGAACCTTCTGAACGCCCATACCAGGTTCCCTGTAGCCTTACACGAGAACAAAAGAGCAGCAGATCTCAAACATCTGCTGATGCCACGCTGCTGCCTGCTCCCTTTTTCCCACTTCTTCTGGAGTCTCCGTCTTCCCATGTGTCTCCATCATCCACGGGAGTCCCTTTCCAAGTAACCACATCTCCTACTTTCCAAGCTTATGGCAGTGTTCCAGCTCCAGACTCATCAATTCAGATAAAACAAGAACCTATGTCATCTGAACAAGACGAGAATTTGAATGCTGTGTCACACATCTCTCCTTGCAGTGTGTCCAAGGAATTACTGCAAGGTAATAGTATGTAAACTTTTCTCTGGTTTAAGGGCAACCCTGTAGTGGGTCTAGGGCACTTTTATATCAGTGATGTAAAGTTATACTTGCCCATTAAACTGAGGTTATTACAATTAATTTTTCTTGAGGTTTTCTCCATTCAGGAGGATTATATAAATACCAGTAACTTTTCCTTAATTTTCTACCATCTAATTACTAATTTGACTTTGAATTAGCACTTAAAAATTCTGTTTATTAGGATTGGTGCAGAATTATTTACTTTTTGGGAGATAAACAAGGTTGATGATGTTCAGTAAATTTTCTAAATAAGATGTATCCTCTGAATTTCTCAGCAGTTAACTGTCTTTATCATGTAAAGCAGCAGTCCCCAACCTTTTTGGCACCAGGGACTGGTTTTGTGGAAAACAGTTTTTCCATGGATCTGGGGGCACGGGTGGGGGGATGGTCTCCAGATGACTCAAGTGCATTGCATTTAAGCTCACCTCCTGCTGTGTGGTCCGGGCGCGTGGGGGGTGGGGGGCGGTTCAGACAGGCCCGCACCAGTACTGGTCTGCTGCCCCAGAGATTGGGGACCCTGGAGCTAAAGCACAAGCCAGGATTAATACGAGCCTGAGAGGCAGGTGCCCAGGATGAAAGGCAGAGCGGGGCTCTGGGGCTTGGAATCATCTCATAGGAACTTGGGTGGTTTTGAGAAGTAGCCAAGGTTTTTAGTCTTTTCATAAAATAACACCTGGTTACCATTTGAGGATAACTTCTAAGCAATTTAAGATCTTACCTTAAGTTTGCATAATCACAATGATGCTGTATTAGTAGTTAAGTAAAAAGTAAACAGACTGGTGTGTGATTTCTTGAGCCAGAATTAAAAGTCTGAAGAATCACCCTAGATTTGGCTACCTGTTGCAACACTGATCTAGATATCTGTATCAAATGTATATTTTATATTGAATTTGTTACTTTTACATGGATAATATTTAGTATTTTTTTTAAAATTAGTAATGAAGCAATATAGAGACTTTTAAGCTAATTTTTTCAAAAATAGCTTTTATTAGATTTCTTTTTCTGATTGCAAAATGAATTCATGTTCATTGTAAATAATTGAGAAACTAAAAATCTAGGTATATATTTCAGTCTTTTCTTAAATCTTACTTGTAAACTTTATACAAAGAAAAAATAGTCTGTTATAATCTAGCTTTTTTCCCTTAATATGTCATTGTCATTTCCCTGTGTCATAAAAATAATTCATCTAAAATATTTTATTTTACCAGTTGCATAACATTTCTCAAATTATGCAGTTTATAGCAAGTTGCATAAAATCTGGATATGCAATAATTTATATACTCTTTGTTCAGGTTTTCTCCCCTTTTTTAGTATTCCGTGTAACATGTTGTATGTACCTTTAAGTACGTCTGATTATTTCATCATTTTAAATTTGTAGACATGAAATAATTAAGTCAAGAAAATAGACGTTTTTAAGTCAGCTGGCTTTTTAACTACTAGTGTGTAGCTAAACTGGATGATGTACAGGTAAAATGCATAGTGAAAATTTAGAAAATAAAGGTGAATGCGTTTCAGATAAGTAGATACCTAAGCGTCTACTAAAAATAAAACACAATGATCAGTATGTGGACATTTCAAATAAGAAAGGAAGAAGAATGATAGAAACAATTCCTGCCCATAAAGAGCTCATGTAGGGTATAAGACATGTATGTTATTTGTGAGATTAATGCAAAGCTAAGTGTACTACGTGCTGTATTAGAAATTTTTATAGGTCATGGGAAGTTGAGAAGAGAGATAATAGCTTTAAAAGCCATGGCTTAGTTAACATCATCGAAATGTCATTATTTGTTAGAGTTTCAATCAGCGACAAATAATTGCAGTTTTTGACTATAAATAGCAGACATAAAAAGGTGCGATAACATTCTTCTTCTCTACTCAGGAGAGATCAGTGACCATCGCCCAGTTTCCCCTGGCATCACTGCAACATTGCCTTTGTCAGAGCTAACAGAAGGTTCCCAGGAACCTAGCCAAGCACTGAAGTTTTCTGTGGAACAAGGAAATTCCAGAAACAGAGAAAATGCCCTCTATTCCCAATCAGCTGGTCTTCCTGGCATAAATAAAGAAAGTGAAGATCCAGCCAAAGGCAACAGTGGGTCTGAAGCCTGTACCAATTCTTTTCCAAGATTGTCCTTTGCTTCAGAAACCCCTTTGGAGAGGGAGCCCCACTCTCCGGCTGACCAGCCTGAACAACACGCAGAGTCTACTCTGACATCAGCTGAAACTAGGGGTAACAAGAAAAAGAAGAAACTTAGGAAGAAGAAAACTCTGCGGGCTGCCCATGTTCCTGAGAACAGTGACACGGAACAGGATGTATTTACTGCCAAACCTGTGAGGAAAGTAAAAACTGGAAAGTCAGCTAAAGGAGGGAAAGTGACAACCTCCACCTGGGAGGATAGCAGAACTGGTCCAGAACAAGAGAGTGTCAGAGATGAGCCAGACAGTGACTCCTCTCTGGAAGTCCTAGAAGTTCCTAACCCTCAGTTAGAAGTAGTAGCCATTGATTCTTCTGAATCTGGAGAAGAGAAACCAGACAGCCCATCTAAGAAGGATATTTGGAACTGCACAGAGGAAAACTCATTAGAAACTTCTCGTTCTGGTTGTGATGAAGTTAGCTCTACCAGTGAGATTGGCACTCGTTATAAAGATGGTATCCCTGTAAGGTAGGGATGTTGTATTGATCCACTCAGAACAGCTTTCACCTGAAGTTCTACTTTTCTTTAAAAAAATAGAACTTTTTGTTAGGACTCAGAATTTTTAAAAGAATCAAATTTATAGAAAATCAGTAGGCATTGCCAATGTGAAAGACTCAAACCTTGGCAATGGAGATTTCCTGCTTTCTCATTTGTGTTGTAAAAATTTACTGTACTTTTATTTCCTTTCATATAGAAATTTCAGATGGAAAAATGACTTCAGGTCATTGTTACTTTGCCCATTGATTAGAACAATATTTTGAGTCAGGAAAATTTAAGTTTTACTACCTGTCCTATTCACACAGATGCTAAGAAGACTTTTGCTATTATTTTGTAGTGTGGCAGAAACTCAGACTGTGATCTCCTCCATAAAAGGATCAAAGAATTCTTCAGGTATTTGGTTATTCTATTTTATTTAAATTAACCACAGAGAAAAAGCCTTGTAAATGTTAGAGCTAGGGTTTAAATCTACTTAAATATGCTTATAGAATAGGGGACAGGAGTTATCAGCAAGATGATTGCTTTGACCAGCAATTGTAATATTCCTACATCCTCAGATCCTGGCTTTTCAGTTTCTCACTCCCATCTCGCTTACCTGGCTCTCTTCTCTGTTCATTTAGTTAGTATTAAGGTTTCATTGACTCCAGGAGCTTTTGCTTTGAGAAGGACCTGCTTTAAAAATAATGCCTTACTCAACAAAATAATATGCGACAGACATTTGATACCTTCCCATTACCACTCAGAAACTCATTATTTATCATTTTCTTAAGTGAAAGGCTTTCCCTTCCTTCTTTGACTATGAAATCTTCATAATGAATATTTTAATGAAAAATGTGGTGTTTTGCAAGGGGAACTAGGTTTTACAGAGAATCCAGGGACCACTATATTATTTAATGGTTTTAATTTTTGAGTATCTTTTCAGACACAGCAGGTATGTCTCTGAAACATAGTCTTGTTTTCTAGAAATCTCCTCAGAGCCAGGAGATGATAATGAACCCACCGAAGGGAGTTTTGAGGGACACCAAGCTGCAGTGAATGCAATTCAGATATTTGGGAACTTACTATATACCTGTTCGGCAGATAAAACTGTGCGAGTTTATAATCTGGTGGTAAGTTGATATAGCAATTTGAGTGTTTTTGATAGTTGCAGGTTTTAGAAACTCCAGCTTGGAACAATGGGGGACTTTCTTTGCCGTTTAGATATGAGGTGGGCTTTAGACTAACTTCAGGTACAGTTGATTCAGCTGCCCAGCTGGGTCACTGGGCACTTAGTTTTATTCTGTCTCTATGGTGCCTTCTTTGTATCACCTCTTCCTATCACCTCACAAACAGAAGCCGGGAGCTACTGGGGTTTCTTTTCTCTCCCACCACCAGATAAGGATCTCGTGCTTTATTCCCTGGATAATCACTTGGCAAAGGAAGGTGGGATTACAACAACAGACATGGGCTAGTCAGATCTCAGCCCTGAGTTGGTGATGAGGTCAGTCGCCTAGCTGATGAGTAATAGAGAAGGGGCAAAATAAATATTGAGGAAGTATTAAAGGAGGCATTTTCCCTGAAAATTAATTATGCAAGTTATTAAGGAGAGCAACAGTATTCCCCTATACACACTTACTATAATCTAATGGTCATGACTCTTAATTTTCATAAAATGAGCTTTTGAGTTTTGGATTTGGTATATGTCAGACTAACTCTATTTATCAACAGTGACAGCCAATAAACTTTAGGAACATTATTATCTTGTCCAAATAAACATTGTGAAACTATTTGAAACTGAAAATCAAAAGTTAGATGATAGACCAAGGAAATGTGTTTGCTGTAACCAGTAGGTGTATAAATTCCTTTAGCCTAATAACACGGTGGGCCAAAGGGGTGACTGAAGGAAGGGAGCAAAGGTACCAGGAAGCATGAGCATGAGATTTGGGGGACCGGTTCTCACTCTAAATTGCGAGATAAATATATGTATATCTGTACATTCTAAAGAGATCTCAGAGATAATACAGATAACTAGTAAGATGTCCTCTTATGAAACCACACCTGGACCACGAGAACCTGTGGTGACACCTGGTTAGTAGCATTCTCATAAGCTACTGATCAAATGCAGGAACTTATCTCAGTAATTATCTACAGTTTGGATTTGCTAGATTTTTGGTCTCTGTGTTGGAGAGCCTTGCCCTAGGCATCAGTTAAGCTTTTAATCTACCTTATAGTGGATTGCCCTAAGTATTTTTTGGTATGACTCAGCTAACATAGTTGGAAGTATCTTGCCACATGTCACCAGGTACTTCTCTAGGCATTGAGGATACAGCAGTGAACTGTCATGTTTCAGCATCTTTTTGATGAGGAAATGTGTTATCTGGTCCATCTGTATCCACAAGTGCTAATGTGATCTGTGCTGGCTTTAGAGTCGCAAGTGCATTGGTGTCTTTGAGGGCCATACTTCCAAAGTGAACTGCCTCCTGGTTACTCAGATCTCTGGGAAGAATGCTGCCCTGTACACTGGTTCCAGCGACCACACCATTCGCTGCTATAATGTGAAGGTAAGTGGGTCCATAGAATCAAAAGTGATGATACTGAACTGCTTTGACTGTATTTACTATGTAGAGTGGAGGCACTGAGACAGATGCTTCATTCTTCCCACTTTCTCTTTTCCTTCTGTCACTGTAGGTTTGTGCTTGAATTTTATCCTAGTAAACATACTCACATATTCTTTCATGCCTAGTTTTAGCTCACCATAATATCTGAAGGTCATGTATATTGTTGCATGTGCCAATAGTTGTTTTTTTATCATTGTATGGTATTCAGTTTTCTTTATAAAATTACGAGAAAGGTCTAACTTGGGTTAACTAGAGGCAACATGAATCTTAACATTTGGGCATACTTACTGTCTTTTTATTTTATAATTTCATATGTGGTATATATCTGGTTTTATGGGGGAAATTGAAAAATTTAAAAAACTGATTCTTTTAGACATGAAAGAAGGTCGGGAGAAGAGAACAAGGGCTTTGACAACCTACAGCTTTTGTCATTCTGCCCACAGCTTGTCACATCCTACCCACTTGTAACCATCTTAATTTTAACATCGCCATCCAAACCTGTTTTAAAACCTACACTTGGGCATTTAGTTGCTTGGTGTCATTTAACAACAAATCTTGAGCACTTACTATGTTACTGGTCCTATTCTAGATTCTAGGTAACTAAATTTGTTAATATAACCCAGTTGAAAATCATTTCTTGAAGGTCAAATTAAACAGTGCCTGTTTAAATTGGATATACATTAGAATTACTGTGGAAATTTAAAAAAATACATATTCCAGAACCTACTGAGTTAGAATCTAGGGATTGGAGGTGAAGCTTGGGGTTCTGTGTATTTTAAAAGCTTGGGAGTTAATGGATTGGCTAATCTGACACTGGTTTGAAGGAGACATTTAGGAACTGTTAAAGTAGAGAGTCAATTGTAGGAAAGCACATACTTGATTAATGCAATTGTATATACAAATACAATTTTTCTTTTCCTTTTAGATGTCAAATGTAACTTTAACTTTGTCTTTGGCTACTTAAGAGGTTAATACCCAATCCATAGTGCCCTTTGAAGGATTTCTAATTCCAAATTAGAAATATAGGTAACATTATCAGAATTTATATTTGTTTTTTATATTACCTACAACATTTGAGTCTTTGGCCACAAATTTCAAAGGAGAAAAAAAATCTAAGATTGTCTTCTATAAAATAGATGATGCTACTTTTTCTTCTTCATGAAATCATTTCATACTCTTCCTTCAAAAGGATTGGTTGCACATTTTACTTGCTGTTAACCTCTGCTGATTAGATGTTGTGTACTTTTATCAGACGCGAGAATGTGTGGAGCAGTTACAACTGGAAGACCGGGTCCTTTGCCTTCACAGTAGATGGCGAGTCCTCTATGCAGGACTAGCAAATGGCACTGTGGTCACCTTCAACATAAAGGTTAGTGACAGGAGAGAAGGCTGAATTCCCATGCCCCTTGAAAATGGTGAGTATGTGGGGAAAGAAGTGGAAGATTGTCGGGAAGAAGTGGAAGACAGGCATTTTCCTATTTTCTTATGTGAGAAGCAGCAGACTTAACTCATACCCAAAAACTGTTATGTTCGGGTGTAAGTGAAACAGGATCCTCCATTCTATCTGTATAGACCCAAGTGTACTAAGAGCAAAATATACCTCTACTAAATTAAGCCAAGCCTGACAATTTGGTGCCAAATAATGAGTCACAGGTTAAACTAGTCTGTCTCATTTTTAGGAATGACACCATGAAAAATGAGCCTAAATTCCTTTTAATACAACATTCATGTGGTTTGGAACTGATGTAGGGTTTCATGAGGGTAACCTATTCTAAAATGAACTGAGTTAAAGTTTTGCCATCATGCCCATGTGACCTCCATTCTTTCCTAGCGCAGAGAAAGTCACTTGTTGAGCAAACCTTCATCGAGCATGTGTTAGTGTGCAAGGCCCCAGGATGAGGCTCAGGAAATGTAGGGACTAGTTCTTGACAGCCTTATGTGCTTTGAGAGACATGATCCAATTTGTATTTTAGAAAGAGTCACTCTGGAGTAGATGAGATTGGAAAACATTGGTAATAGAAGAGGCAGAGAGATGATTTAGGGGGCTTTCTAATGGAAGCTAACATGAAAGGTTAGATTAAGGCTGAAGAGAAGAGAATAGATAGGAGATGGAATCTCAGAGGTGGAATGGATTACTAATATGTTGTAGGACTATAGCTCAAGGTCATCAGGTCATCTCTTAACAGTATGTTAGAGACATGTTAGCACGTTTACTATGTTATACCCAATTAGAGTATCATTCATATGTTTAGTCAATACCTACATGCTAGCTTAACTATTACACTTACACCATGAGAGCTTAACTATTACACTTACACATGAGAGGCAGTAACATACACCATGGTTTCTGTCTTTAAGAAGCTCACACATATACTCAGGTGCCAAGTTTTTTGGTTCACTTGATAGGAACAGATCACAGAAGGGCAATTAGCAAAGGTTTTTGCTTTCCAGATATGAAGTGTTAACAGCCTAGATTAGATTTGGGTAGGGCAATAGAAATAAAGAAGAAAGAATAAATTTAAAATACTGCTATTTTAATGAATAAAATTTTATAATTACCTGATTTCCTTCTCTTTTGTGAACTTAATGTTATCAAAGATGGATAGAAGTGAGGAGCAAATCTTTAGGGGCAAGATGATAACAAGAAAATAAAACAGTCTTTAAATGGTTGAAAAACCCCAAGAAAATGGACCTGAAGACAGAGAGTTGAGACTCTTTGCAGAGATAGGCATTTTGAAGCCTTGGTAGGGCCAGGCCTTTTCTGATTGGTGTGTACTAGACTGCTGTGCTTCCGGGGTCTCAACAAGGAAACAGAACAGTTTATCAGGGTCTGTCTCCCAGTGGGCCGAACTCCATCAGTCTGTCCCCTTAGCACCTCCTGATGGCTGAAATTGACACTTAGCTCTGTAGGCACCCAGCTGCTACTTTGTGCTTATTTAGTTTTGGGGAGTTTTAGCCCATGCATGCACCTAGAGGGAATTGGGGGCCTTTCTGAACAAGGTTGGTGTGGGGATGAGGGAAGCAAATCTAAAATCTGAGATAAAGGAATGTTTGGGAATTTAGGGAGTGACCGTGCCCCTCTGACTGATACAGAGGCTTATGTACTCCACTAGAAGATGCCATGAAAGATGACATAGAACCAGAAGTCAGAAGGACATCAGAATAACAGAAAGGTGGAGAATGAGGGGCTCTCATTAAAATTGTCTAAGAAAATAGTTCTCGTGGAGAATTTTGGAAATACCCTGACAAATAGATTGCATACATTTTGGATGTCAAAAAAAAATAGTGAAAGAGTTCTTGAGGCTATGGCATGAAAAATGTATCAGAGTATGGGGAAAAAAGGTTGCTCATTCATAGTCAATACCTTAAGTGAGAAAGGGCATAAAAAGAGAACCAAGTTCTAATTGTGATCAGGATAGTGTGGGTTGAAGTTAGAAATGAGTTCATAAGGTAAGAGTTTGCCCCCACTGGAATAGGGGCGGAGGGCATCATGAACACAAAGAGAGTTGGCATGGGAATGGCAGAGGTTGGGAAGTTAAAGATAGGGGAGTGGGTATTTAAATACAGGTAATAGAATTTAGAGTTTATATCAAGGTAGTGATTTGGGTTAGTTGATTTTGAGGTTTACCAGCTAATTTGCTTTTACTTCATACAGTGGTGACTTACTTTTTCAGAACAACAAACGACTCGAAATCTTTGAATGCCATTGCCCTCGGGCAGTTAGCTGTCTTGCCACAGCCCAGGAAGGTGCCCGCAAGCTGCTGGTTGTGGGATCTTATGACTGCACCATTAGTGTACGTGATGCACGCAATGGACTCCTCCTCAGAAGTCTGGAGGGCCACAGCAAAACTATCCTCTGCATGAAGGCAAGTATAGTGCCAGCGAACAGGAGCTGGTTCTGGCACAAATACAGTGGTGCGAATGACATTTTTCATGTTGTCTAATGCCTTAGTTAGAACCATCATCTTGAAAAGAGGAAGGAGGTTACAGTCCTTTTCTTCAGGCCAGGGTCACCAAGGGATGTACTATTTTTTAGTTTGTTAACTTGGAAACAATAAAAGTATATTTTACTATAGAATGTAGTTACACTCTAATACCCTTCTAGGCTACTTCATAATCATTCTGAAGAGGTAACAAACCCAGTAATACACTGTCATTTCATTAGATTGCCTGGTGGTAGGACATAAGTTTCAGTTCAGAAAATTTATTTGAAAAATTTATTTTATACCTACTTTATGCTCATCCAAAATTAGAATTCCCCAATCTGCATTTCATGTTACAAAGGGAACTCAGAGCCTTGTACCAAATCTAACTCACTGAATTTTTTTTCTTTAAGGTGGTGAATGACCTCGTGTTCAGTGGCTCCAGTGATCAGTCGGTCCATGCCCACAACATTCATGTAAGCTCTGTTCGTGTGAAGACATTTTTAACAGAATGGTGGTTAAAGCTGGAAGGATTCATCAGATCTCTTACCATTTAAATTAAACCCCTTTTCTAGTGAGAGACTTAATAATATTTTGTATGCATAAGCTCTTAGACAATATTGAGAACCCTAGAAATTCTGACTTTGTCAAAGTTTTTACTAGAGCACAGACTCAAAGTTTATGTAAGGTTTAGTTCTAATGCCACATTTCAACTTGAGATAAATTGAGCATCTGAGGCACTAAGAAAGTGGATATGATACATAGTTTAAAATAGAACAAATGAGAACAGCCGAAAGATTCTACTCACGTCATAGAGGCAACTCTGATGCCCAGTTCCTGGTCTGTAAACCTGGGGGTAATCTAAGCCCTCAGGGGCTTATCCAGAGCCAATGAAATGACAAAAGTGAAAATATAGTTGGCCCTGAACAACACAGGTTTGTACTGTTTGGCTCTATATATACATGAATTTTTTTCAGTAAATACCTGTACTGTTTTTGATCTGTAATTGTGAATCCGTGGATGCAGAAGGCCAACTGTATGCATTGCTCATGGCATTTTATATAAGGGACTTGAGCATCCTAGGATTTTGGTATCTGCAGGGGATGGGGGTGCCATCCTAGAACCATTCTTCCACGGATACTGAGGGACAACTTAAGTTTTGGGGGAGTCAAGAGTTATAGATTGCTTTTCAACTGTACGTGGTCAACACTCCTAACCCCTGCATTCATTGTTCAAAGGTCAACTGTACTTCAAGAGCTATAAAATACATACAGATAGAGCTGTGACTCTTCTCATTCTGTGACGCTACATTATCTCCATCAGGATACATTGCATATATTTTGTGTAGGTAACAAATGTTTGTGGGAGTACTTCACCTGTTAAAACTAGTACAGCTACATGTGTGTACAAGTAGCTTCAGAATTACTACTTTTAGAATTATAGAATCATAAATCTCAAAGTAGGAAAATATCTCCAAAGTGCGGTAACTGTATATCTCCCTTCTGACGCAGACTGGTGAGCTTGTGCGGATCTATAAAGGTCACAACCATGCAGTGACTGTGGTGAATATCCTAGGAAAAGTGATGGTGACGGCTTGCCTGGATAAATTTGTTCGTGTTTACGAATTACAGGTAGAATTTAGAGCCAGTACTTTGCTTGAATGATTTGGGGAGGTTGTTTGTGTGGGTTTGATATTGACTTTTTAAGGGAGTATGGTAGTGTTGGGACCCAGGAATTTGCATTCTTCTCAAGCACTCTAGATAATTATGAAGCAGCTGATTCATGGACTGTATTTTCAGAAACACTGCTCTGGGGTACATGGTCAGGTTCACAGGTGTCAAAATTTAAATGGTTTCTGCACAAAATTTAAACGGGACAGCAGCTGCAGTCTATAAAACCCATCCAGTTCTCCTTATATGCAGTTTCAGATTGGAGACTTTGAAACTACACAGAAATTGGTTGTATTATTTCCAATTGCTAGCTCCTTCCTTGAGAAGGAGGACTTACTAGAAAGATTGCCATTAGATTATATTTCTGTTAAAATGCTACTGATGCTTTGAGCTTAGTGCCTCAGGAAGTTTTAAACCTGCCAAAAGCATTCAGGGACTATGTTTATTAAACATAAGGTGTAAATAACCTTAACTGCCTTTGTTTTCTTCCTCCACCTAAGTCCCATGATCGATTGCAAGTTTATGGAGGACACAAAGACATGATTGTGTGTATGACCATCCATAAAAGTATGGTGAGTATGGTTTTTCACATCACATATTTGCCTCTGAATGTATTTACTAAAAATTCTACAAACTGATAATAATAATGTTACTACTAGTCACTTCCAAAAATAACGTCAGTTTCTGATGTGCCTCGTTTTTGATTGCCTTTCTATCTCTTGGCATAATATTATCAGCATATAACCCAGTAATATTGTTGAATATTTAATTTTCTGTTAATAGCTAAAATAATTATAATAAAAATCTGATACCACCACCATTAAGTAGAAGATAAATTTAAAATTTTTTTAAAAAATGAATGATGCCTTTTCCAGAGACAAGTATGATCTGAACAGCACATTGGAATAGAGTCAGGAGGTTCGGCCAGTGTGGCATAGTCATAGCAGACCTAAAAGTAGAAGCTCACTCACTTAAACCCACTAATCCTCGATTTGTTTTATTTTTAAATTACAAGGTTGAACCAGAATGGATGTTTTTCAGGCTCTGAGCAGTCGAACCCTGTGTTCCAATGAAATACAGATACCTAATATGTAATGCCCAGTGGATGCCAGAGCCACGCCAGTTAAAGTGTAGGTGTGCGCCTCTGAGCCCTGCCTTTGCTGCTGTCAGCCGGGGTCCCAAGAGTGGCTCTTGAAGGAGCACAGCTTCAAAGTGTCTAGAGTAGATCTAACAGGGGTGTCCAACCTTTTGGCATCTCTGGGCCACATTGAAAGAAGAAGAGCTGTCTTGGGCCACACATTAAATGCACAAACACTACTGAAAACAAAATAATCTCATAATGTTTTAAGTCAATTTACAATTTTGTGTTGGGCAGCCTTCATAGCCATCCTGGGCTGCTTGCGGCTGGTGGGCTGCAGGTTAGACACCCCTGGATACTTTGCCATTGTAGTACTATGGGATTGGTTAGGGTTTAGTTTTGTGTTTTCTTAAGTTGCTACAAATAGTTTTGGACTCTTATTTTGAGCATGTTTCATAGTTTTTTTGGTGTATGTTTTTGGTCTGATGTGATACACCTCTTTCTCTCCAGATTTATACGGGCTGTTATGATGGCAGTATTCAGGCTGTGAGGCTAAATCTGATGCAGAATTACCGCTGTTGGGTAAGGAGTGAAACTTCAGAGTTGCTTAACTCTAGGCTAATTTATAGACCTTCATTGTCATCACTGTAACATTTTTCTATTTGAGCATCCACTTTATGTCTTCTGTAGGACAAGGAAGCTTATTTTTAAAAACCATACATAAAATACTTCTCTAAATTTCTTTAATGAAAACTCTGTTTTAAGATTGGATATGAGGTATATTTAAATATTCTCTACTCAGCTTATCTCCCTGGTGGTTTTTAGTTTCTCATAAAATCAGTACATGCTTACAAAAATATCAGTAGTGCATAAGTATATGAAATAAAAAGTAGGAGTGTTTATTTTCATGACCTGCCCATACTACACTCATTCCTTACGGATTACACATGTTAATATTTTGGTTTGTGTTCTCATTGGTTTTGGGGGAATGGACAAATAAAAATTTGTATTCTTGAAGTTTTAAACCTCAGCTTTCAAGGCTAAATTTCATAGTTTTTGTTTTGAGATGGGTGCTGGTGATTAACCCTTAAACCTTTCGCTTATTCCTTACAAGCTTTCATTTATTTTATCAGTTCTAATATTTGTAACCAAAGAAACATTAATGACACTGAATTTTTTTCCCCCAAACCTCATTCCGGATTGATGGAATGAATTTTCCATTTTAAAATTTGATATTAGGCTTGTCCACCGCTGACTTACCTTTCAGCTTTTTACACATTACTTTTTGCTTTTTAGTCTTCTTACTGGAGAAAAGCAAGTTCTAGTGCAACAGGATGCAGAGTACACAAATGAAGTGTTAATTTATCTAGAGAAATGGGGAAATAGTGTCGTTATAAAATTAGAGAGATGGGGTAGTAGAGGCAGAGGAAATGCTCAAATTTGCATTACATTTTATAAATGAATATGTTAAATTAGAATCATAAGATTTATTACAAGCAAGCCTGTAGGGAAAAGGCCAAGACAAAGAGTCTTTATGCTTTCTCACTAGCAAGTGAAATAGAGTCACATTTAGAAGTAAAACTATATTTAAAAAAAAAAAAGTAGATGATCACAAGACTGTGGTTCAAGTAATAGACTATGTGTAAAGTCTGATTTCCATGGCAAACACAGTTTTCTACAACAGACACTTACACAGATTTTTTTAATCGGGTACTTTTTTGTTTTTAATCCTCACCCAAGGATATGCTTATTGATTTTAGAGAGAGGGGAAGGAAGGTGGGTGCAGGGGAGGGAGAGAGACTTACTGATGTGAGAGAGAAACATTGATTGGTTGCCTCTCGAACGTGCCAGACCGGGGATCGAACCCACAGCCTTTTTGGTGTACAGGATGACTCTCCAGCCTGGCAAAAGTTCCAGGGCCAGGCACTTTCATTTTTAAGTTTACAAGTCAGTAGTTCTTAGAATTGTTAAAAATAGCCCTTTAAGTATTACAGATTCCTGTAATCTGTGATCTCATTGTCTTCTAAAATAAATGGACAAAGAAACTTATTTTATGATGGCAAGATAAGGAATAAGTACATTTAAACTGAATTTTTTGGTAATTTGTAAATATTTTATTTTTCTTTTGTCTAATGATGCAGTGGCTGGCTATCTTAGTGCTTTGCCTTCTTAAAATACCACAGTGTCAAAAGACTTCCCAGTCTTTTCAAGGTTCTTCATCATATTCATAATTAATTTGATTGCCTCTGGCTTTGTATTGCTAGCAAGAATAAATAAAATAATAAAGGACCTTTTGTTTCCACCAAACTTACGGTATTCAAGTAGGAATATTCCAGTTGCATGTTTCCGGTACCCTTTTTAACTTTTTCATTCTGTTTCTTTCCAGTGGCATGGTTGCTCTCTGATATTTGGTGTTGTAGATCATTTAAAACAACATTTGCTGACTGACCATACAAACCCAAACTTTCAAACTCTGAAATGTCGATGGAAGAACTGTGATGCTTTTTTCACTGCTAGGAAAGGATCCAAACAGGTACATCAGTGGGACTTGAGGTTGACCTGAATTCATTTGACCTTTGGGAGCCGGGTTTGGAAACCTTTTTTGCCTAGTTAGAATCTTCAGAATTACAATAAATAGGGAGAGTCTAGGCGGTTTTTCTTTTTGTTATTACTCAGAGATTTGGGGGATTAGCTTAATGAGATTTCAAATGAAGAGTGCTGGGTCTTAACCACCTTTTGTGGATGGATTGTAGAATGTATCCATGGACCTCTCCTTGTCTTTGACTTTCTCTTGTCCTTCTACCAACTTCTCTCTCATCGGTCCTTTTCCCTTTGTTCCTAGGATGCTGCAGGACACATTGAACGACATGCTGAGAATGACAGCAAAGTTGATTCGTGAAGTTTTTTGCCTCCCACGTTGGGAAGTCATTAGTTGAACTGATTTCACATTGTCCCCTCACACAGGTCACTCTGTTCCCTTCCCCCCGGGGAGCAGGAAGCAGGAAGCAGGAAGTGATTACCAGCCAGGCTTACACTAGCATAAGTCTGGGCAGCTCTATGGGATGATAGATTACACTTTAAGCTCTTGCTGGAGGTTTGTCAAATTTAAACAGATTTTAAGGAACTATAGTCCTCTGGAACAGCATGGCATATAGTAGTTAATGCTACTAGTGTTCTCCGGATGTTTATTAAAGATGCACATCTTAATTGGTGACCTAATTTGACCCTAATCATATTTTTATTGATTTCAATTTGCGATTTTTAGTTTATGTTCTTATGATGGTTTAAACCTATAGTCAGGCTGTTAAGTAGGTACCAGTTTGTTCAAATGCTAGATTTTTAGGATCAGTTTTAATTTTTCCAGTTGTAATAATGGGGTATCTAAATTGGAAGCAAATAATTCCCTTCTTAACAATTATGTTGAATATGTTTCGATATTGTCTTGCTTTGTAGGTGGACAGAGACGGCTTTACATGCTAAAGGGAGACAGGAGATTTTTAGCAACTAGCGTGACTGCTCTACTGACTGTATTTTAGGAGCTCAGACAGCAAATCACATAATGACAAGTCCCTCCAGACAGCACTACCTAGTGAACCTCCTGTGCAGGTTTTGCTAGAGTGCTTGGCTTGAGGCAGCATGCACACCCAATGTCCACCGTGAAATCTTGCGGTTAGACCTGACCTGGTACTCATGGCTGTGGGGATGGAGCTGGAGGTGTAGCCTTAACTCCCTTCCCAGTGACTGGCTCTCCAAGGCGACTGTGGGTGTGAAACCTTTCAGTTTGCTCCCTCACCAGCCCCCGTCTCTCCCATTCTCTAGCTGTGCTCGCACTGATGACAGCCGACAGGAACTTCCCGGGGCTTACAGGATGCTTTCCACTCACCTGCAGCCCCCAAGATGGGAGAGTTCGGATAAAGCGCCTGAATTCAGTTTTTAGGGCCTCAAATAGGCTTCTTTGAGACTGATTTCTAAAACCTTTGTCTTGCCTTCACCCCTCCACTAGCTGGGAAAGAAGAGTGGAATCTGGTGAAGATAGAGACTCTACCTGTCCCATGAGAGCAGTCACACTAACAAAGCCTTAGTGAGACTGCTTTGTTTTGGGGTTTTCCCTGGACTCTTAAGAGAAGCTATGGAACTGTTGATTTCCATTCTTTTGTTTCTGGATTCACAGAACTCTGAAAGATTCTTCAGAGATAAGAAGGGAGGAGAGCCCAGTGCCACCTAACCAAGCTTTGGGATGTGGCACCTGCTGTTTTCTAGAATTGCAGAGCATCCAGGTTTCTCTCCACTCCTGTTATGCACACACATCTATTCTCATGTCTTCTTCCCTTGGCTCTAGGACAGGGGAACATCACTGGGAAGTCACGGATAGGTTTCGAGAGGGTACGCGAGCCCTCTGAAGTTGTTTGCAAGACAAAGTATGTGTTCTTTTTTCCAGGGAAGGCTCTAGTGGTTCTTACTGGATCCAAAACATTGAGAACTAATATGGGAGCTACTACTAGATAATGAATGGCTCCACAAGCTCTTTACTTCTGTCTTTGTGAATGGGAAAACTTTTGTTGATTACATTATTGAGATTTACATACACAAGAGAGCAGAGAGGATCCTGTTGCATAAAGACTTTGTGCTGGTTCTCTGTGAGATTAAGAAGTCTTTTCCACCTCTTACCCCCATTTCCTGTACAGGTGACCAGAGAAGCTGGGCTGTTCTGTGGGTTTGGGAATGGTGATTTCCCAGGAAAGTATATTTGGATTTACTGCCAAACCTGGCATGTTTCTCTGGGCTGCAGTGAAGCAGCATTTACAAGTTGGCCGGGCAATGTGCTAGGAAAGCCTTACATGCGCTGTTGCATAGGTGTCCTGTCCTGCCTGAGGACGTGTCTGAAACGAGGAGAGTGGTGGAGCCTTTGTGGGGCAGGTGTTGGGCAATCGATTTGCAGGTAAAATCAGTAAGAACTGATTTGGGTTTCACTTTGGTAGAATTGTGCACAGTCTGCCTGCCTTCATGTGTATGAATGTTCCTTATATGTGTGTATGCACAGGGGCACCTATACTTGTAATACTTTTCCTCATTTTGCAAAAACTTTCTTTGAAGCAGTGGCAGTAATGTGTTTGTTTCAAGGATGTGTATGACTTGTTTAGCATCAGGTCAGTGTGTTATCATAAATGCAATGCTCGAGCCCTCTGTTTAGCAATAAATGCACCCTGAGCATCTTGGCTGCTTATGTATGGTTATGTGTTATTTCTTTTAAGTGTCTTGAAAGTTATGCAGAATTTTAGCTATTTTTAAGTCTTCTACAATGTCTTGACTGATTCTAGTCCTCTGTCCCCCACTCAGAGAAGAGCTATGGCTCAGGGATTTGCATTAACTCACATATCTAGTACTTTAAGAAAGGAAACTGTTACATGACCTGACAAAACCTGACTCATTTATTATAAGGAGTTGGAGGCCATTTTCTATAATGTTATTTTTAATTACATGTGCCTATTTCTAACGGACTGAAGCCAAGGAAACAATAGTGTAAATCCTTTTGTATGCATATGGTAGTGTCTTAATGGCCAAATGTTCTGATATACTATCAGTCACTTCAAGTTTTATCCTAAAGTTTTAATCAGGTTCAAAAGGTATTTTGGCATACACCTCTACTCAGTTATACAGCAGTTAAACATGCAAACAAAACTCTAAGAACAAAGACTTATTTTGACCTCATGTTACTTGAATTTAAGAGAACATCATTGCTAGTACCCTCCTGCTTTTGTGGGGAGAATTTTTTTTCTGTCTCAAGAGTTAGCAGTTGAGTGTTTGACTTGCTTACGAGTTACAGGCAGTATCATTGCTGTTTAAGTAATTATTTGCCTAACAAATGTTTTTGTTTCTTTGATTGTTTTTGAGGGGTAGATTATACAGTGGACAATTTTAGTGACTAGGTATGTGGATGATTTGGTGGGAGTAGGTGTACAACACTTAATGCAATGGTATGGTATGTTTTATGGAAGAGAATTCATTGGAGGGGAGATCAAAGTATATTGTGAAGTGAGATTTGAATTGCACGTTCCCTCTGGTTTTTTCAAATAACTGCAATTAATATACTCTGGCTTATCAATTTTGTTTCTGTAACCTGAAGGAGAGTTTTTAGAACTGCCAGAAAGGCCATGCCTGCCACATTGATAAATTAGTGACTATATCCCTGCCCCAAATCATCAGGACCCTCAGGGTTGCAAAAAAAGGCTGTCTAATGACTAGGATAGAAGCTGTGGTGGAGGTGATTTCGGCTATACCGAGTTCCGTATGCAGGCGGATATGAAATTCAGATGTAAACCGAACCTACTACTTATCAGACAGTAACCTCTAACCTCACCTCCAACTCTCAAGGATGTGGCCCTGCTGGGTCACATAGCCACTAAAATTTCCCAGACTGGCTATGAATTCAAGGTGGTAGCCCAACTGGATTGGGGAGGAGGGAAGTCAAGGAGGAAAGGCTATTGAAGATCTCCTGCTTAAGAGAAATACATGCCCTAGAGCTGCTCCAACACCCCTGGTATTTGAATTTTTTATATTGAATATGGATTAGAAGAATGAAATCAGATGACATTTGACTGCAAAATTGTTTATAAGCAAATAGCTTAGCCTTCTTACATTTTGGTATAAACCTGTGAACTTCATAACTTTGTAAAGCAAGGTATAAAGCAAATACAAGAGGAAAATAAAGTACTTTTACTAATTGTTTACTTTTGTTACCTTATCTGCACATTCCTAGCCAACCTTTTCTTTTCCATGTTGGTATAGAGACTAAAGAAAATGGGTGAAAAACACAAGCGATTATAAATAAGACACACATGAGAGCCAGATAAGTTTGGCAAACAGGTACTCTTAAGGATTTGTTCAAGGTCATATGCAGAGGTCAATTAGTTAATGGAGGAGCTAGGATTAAAAACTACATTCTTGCTCCATTACACTTAGGTAAGTGACCCTCCAGTTATAGGTGACCCACTTATTCTTGTTCCATATACCAACAGCTATTACCCTCCCTTTCCTCATATATCTTGGACAGTATCTGAGTGATTTCTATGGTCAAGAAATAGCGACAGGCATGAGTAAAGTGGGATTCGAAGTTTGTTTGTGTATGTGCGTGTTGTCCATTGGTGTATTCGGAAACTAGGGCTCTCTGTATGTGACAGCTGCGTGTGAGAATGGACACTACGGAGCACTGCAGTGGCTGATACCCAAATGTGAGGAAACAGAACACAGTAGTACCCGCCATACGCATGCCTTTATTTAAATCAGCTTTTTTCAAAAAATGCAGCCAAACTTCTCAGTCAGACAACCCAAAGTATCCAGCTCACTTTTATTGAGCTAGTTTACCCCATAACGGGCCCATCCTGAAACAGTCAGACCCAAGTGCTAGTTTGATTACTGTCACATGGGTGGGAGGACAGGAAGGTGATAGAGGGTGCTAGCTTAGGAAGTACTGAGCGCCACTGGCAAAGGCTTCTGTGAACAGCCTCGGGCACGCTAAGGAGGGCCTTTGCTTCAGAGCTGAGGCTGCTCAGGTTCCAAGCAAATCTCTCAGTTGGGCTACAGCTAGCTGAGGCAGACAGACACTTGCCAGCATGTGCAAAGGGACAAAGATCCTTAATGAAAGGGTCAGTTTGGGCATGAAAGATGGACAGATGCCCAGAGGCTCAGTGGGGAGTGCAGTAGAGGAGGAACAAGACCGATGAGGCGACTGGAGGCCTGTTGGGGGTGCAGCTACCGCGCCCTCTGAGCTAAGTGGCTCTAGCTTGGGTGGGTGAAGTTGAAATCCTAGGTGATCCTGCAAGGCCTTGGCTGAGGCCAGCTTGGTTCAGGCATACATGGTGAGCTGCAGCCACTGAAAGAGGAAATGCCAAGATCAGACTGCAAACAAGAAGCAGGAGACAGGCCCTCGGGATCTTACAGGGCAATGAGGAAGGCACAGGCCCAGCATGCCTGGGACGGTACGTGTTTTCCAGCATAAAGTCCTCTTAGGAACTGAGGACCCTTTGGAGTACACATTTTTTACTGTGCTCCCCTTTGTGTTCCTCTCCTGTCCCATCCCTCCTCCACCATTTGGAAGTGAAGACAACACAGTTGGTCTAGTCTGCCTCATTGACTCCCTGAATTTTAAGGTCCGGGGGAGTATACTGCTGCTTGCAGGCTTTACCTCTAGAACGTTGAGTTTGATGATACCGTCACCATCCTTGTCAAATGCATTAAAGGCTCCTGTGTGGGAGAATGAATACAGACTGGAGGCCACAGACTCGCCCCCCTCCACTACTGTAATTTTTCTTAAGAGGACCATGTTCTGCCAGGCAGAGCATCGCCAATAGCCTTCCCTCTGCCAACCCATTCTGAGCCTGAAAAGGGCTTTTTGCCTTTGTCGGCCCGGAGAGTAGATTGGCAGGTGATCAGGCTGAGATTCCAACTGCCACAGCTCTCACTGCGGGAGAGGGGCAGGAAGGGCATGAGAGCACGGCAGCGTAGCCCCCCACTTACTGAACATGCCCTCCAGCCTGACGAAGCAGCAGATGAAACTGTCGAAGTCTATGTTCATGTATTTGTCTGCATACCGCATGGTGATGATATCGTAGAGCTGGCTGTTGAGGTGGAACCCTGTGGAGAGAGCACTTGAGAGGAGGAAGTAGAGCCACGATCCTTAGGCCTGCCTGCTGTTTCCCCTGCCTTTTGGGAAAGGCAGATGAGAAGCCCTTTCTCCAGAAGCGCCCAGTGGCCGTTAGTCCTCTCCTCCCCTTCCTGCCTCCACCAGCTCCAGTCCACAGCCCAGCGACCCGCTTTTCTGCCCCACCTGCATCATTGACTGCATTTCGCATTTCATAGCTGTTGATGGTGCCAGATTGGTCGGTGTCGTAGTGTTTGAAAATTTTCTGGCAATAGAAAGTTTGAGGACAGCGGTTATGCACTACGCCCCTGAGTCAACCTCCTTCTCTCCCATGCTTTGTTCTCTCCCCACCTGCCAGGCTTTGATCTTCTTCCAGAGGTGATGGAACTCTTGCAGGTTCAGTCTCCCAGAGCCATCTGTCTGGAGGGGAGGTCAGGGCTACAGGGTACATGTAGCAAAATCCCCCTGGATCGGGAGGGGGTTTCTAGGGGCGTCTGCAGGGAAGGCAGCCCCGTAGGAAGGCTCTGCCCAGGATATCCTACCCACTGTCCGGTATCTAATGCCCTGTCCTGGTATTTAACCTTCCCCTCCATACCTCCCCAAAGTTAGTGTCTATGGTTCGGAGTGGTGTCCCAAGAAACACTTTTGCTTGAGCAGGAAAGAGCAAGGGCCAGGGGCTGGTTACAACCCAATGGCCTTCCCAACTCGTACCTCCTCCAATAGCCACTTTCAGACCAGCAGCGAGGAGGAGGTCCTGACTCAGGACCTCCTTAGGTCTTTCCTTGGCCGTGAATTTGGGCCCCTGTGCCTGACTGGGCACCCCTCATTGTTGCCCTGGCCCCCTGACAGAGGGTTGGGAAGGGTGGCAGTAAGGATACGTCCATGAGAGCAATCATGCTACGGCAGGACTCCAGCGTGAACCCTTGGGTCTTCAGGTCCTTATCTGGGAAGTTAAAGAAGAGTGAGGAACTACATTAACTGGTGTGTGCACATACACACACACGCACCCCAATCCTGCATATACAATGTGAGCCACTCACGCTTGTTCACAACTGTGTTAAGGATATTCTTGAGCTCATCAGCACAGATCTCCATGTCCTGAGGAGGGAGAATCATGGTTCAAGAGTACAGCAGCTGGTGGAGCGGAGGCTTTGCAAAATGAATCCCTGTTGTCTGTGTTTGCAAAGTCCCTACCAGCGCTATACTGTCAGAGGGAAGCTGGGGCTTTCTGTGGAAGACAGGCATTGCACCCTCAGCCACCCATGCTGCGGGGGGGCATCTCAGAGCAAGGAGGCCTCTGAGCCACCCGGTGGGACGTTCATCTAAAAGTCAAGACTTGTGGGTTTCTGTGCTACATACAGACATCCCTGGTTCCCACCAAAAGCCAAAATGAACTCTTCTGAGCAAGAATGAAATAACTGGTCACTTGAGCAGTTAAAAAGGGAAGGAGTGTATGGGAGTTGGGGTTGGAAGTACTCACATCACCCGCAATTTGCCTGAAAATATTCCGGAAGTGTTGCTGTTCTTCACTTTCCTGGTCAGTGTTGCCAGGCCGTGGCTGTGGAGACACAAAGGAAAACTGGTTCACAGGGATCAGGGACATGGGCTGACCCGTGAGGAAAGTCCCTTCTAGGCTGAAGGAGCCAGAGTGCCCTGGTGAGCTGGAGTGAGAACCATCCAGGCGCCCGCGGCCTCTCACTCCACACCTCCCCAGCCCAGACCCTCCAGGCAGAGGAGCGGCATTAGCCACACAGACGTGTAGACAGCCCCACGGTCCGCTTTCCCCCATCCCCACCGCTAGGGCCCTCTCCTGCTGTGAGCCTGACTGTCCCAACCAAATGAGCCCCACCAGGACCAAGCAGGCCAGGCCATTGTGGCACCCCCAGCTGCCTCTGTCATCAAGGCCAAGTCCTCAGAGGACTCCTTGCCCCACTCCATTGTATGGGCATTCTGGGATAGAGGTGGTGGCCCTGCATTTGTCTGTGGACTTTTGTCCCTTAGCCCCACCTCCACTCATCGTTATATGACCACCTCTGCCCACTCCAGTCTGACACCCTGCCTGGAGCTCTGGAGGGCTCCATTTCTAATGTCAGCCTCTTCTGTGCTCCTGTTCCTTCTCCCCGATTGTCAGGAGCTTGAGGACACCAGGAAACAGGAGGTGCTCTGGCTCAGGCTCTGCCTGCCCCTCCCCTCGTTGTCCACCCTGGGGGGCTCAGCCTGTCCTTCCCAGGCCTGGGACTGCCTTGGTGGGGCCACCAACCCCCAAGATGTTCACTCAAGCAGCATCCCAAATTTTAGGAGAACTTGATGAAAGGTCAGTGAGATAAACCCAAACCTCTAGATGTTAAAGGGATACTCCACCCCTGCGACCCTTCCAACCTGGGCACCCTAAGTGCGTAGAAGACCCCAGGGTGTGCTGACCACCCCATTCATGCCACATGCTCAGAAACCTGTGGGGATTTCTCTTGTTTATCAGGGCTTGTTTTGTCTTTGCCCTCTTCTGATTCCTGGTCCACACTCAGTTCCTTGTTGCTGTTTGCTCTGTCCGAAACGAAGATGATGGGCTGGAGAGAGGAGGGAAGCAGGAGGGGGAGGAAAGAAGCAAGAATTACAGGCTGCACGGGCACTTGGAGGCAACCCCCCCCAAGCAGCTGGTCCAATGAAGAGGGAAAGAGCAGTCAGGAGCTCTTGAATCTTAGTCCAAGCTCCATTCTGCCACTAACCTGCTGTGGGGAAAGTCTCTCTGGACCTCAGTTACTTATCTCCTCATGATAGAGTTATGAGGGTTAAGAAAGCTAGTGAACACATGTGAAAATGCTAAGAATGCTAAAAGGAACATGATCCAGTGCAGTGGTTTTCAAGTAATTTGTAGACTTTTTTTTAAAAATGGAAACTCTTCAAATTTAATTTCCCCAGAAGCCTAGTGTATGTAAAGTCATTAAAAATAGAACTTTTCCGCTTGACGAAGGGGGCAGAGCTCTATTCTCTCCGTGGCCCTACATCGCCATGGCAGTTACTGAGGCATCTCCAAGGACCCTCTAGGACTCTGCAAAGGACAAATCAAAAACAGGACTCTGATTAGTGGTATGGGCCATGGGTGAGAAGTCAGGACACGGGGCTGCAATCCCAGCCCTGCCATCACGCGCGAGAAATACCCTCTCTGGCTTCAGTTTACTCATCCATTAGTGTGGATAATAAATCCTGCCTTGTGCTCCTCATAGGGTTCTTGCAGGGG